TAGCTCACAACTCAATCCCATTGAAGGCAGCACGTGACTTCGGCAAGGAATGCCTTCCAAATACGACCAAAGGTGATTCTTACCGAGAGCAAAGCGAACCATGGGTTGAAGGGGCGGTAATTCGCAAGGCAACCATGGGAGATTAGTTTTGCCTTGGAAGTTACATGTAGATATCTTATTTCCCACGAGTCCGGTCTCTGTGCCCATTTGATTTCCAATTGACCAATCCCGTCGAGGGTCATCATTGGTCGCTTGCTAATTTGTTATCGCATCCGGAGCTTGTTCATCGGCATCCAATGTCTCGAACCCCCCTTTCTTTTATTTACGGGAACTCTCGTCGGAGGCATGCCCTCGAGATAGCCCTCCGAGCTGGCTGACAACGGTGCTGCCATGGGAACAGGCAAAGCGGAATCCAAATCATGTGATTCCTTACGCATGCCGTGTCTGTAACATCACCTTACAGTCGTGAGACTTGACGACTCCCGATTGCCCCCATCTCCTGACCAGCATCCGTTTACCGCATCAAACAACCAAACAAAGACTGGACAACCCCGTGTCCATTGCGCACCAGACTGTATTGCCTCATCGAAGCCTCGACCCCATCTCCTGACTCTGGAATTCTTTCAAGGGCCTGAGAGGCAACGCTACCGCCTGAACGCAAGCATACCTCACCGTATTCGGTCCTGGCTCTCGGGTCCAAGCAACTTGCCGCCTTTCTAGATCAGCAGGCATCCGTCGGTGAAGAAGGGCTCCCAAAGGAATGAAATTATTTCCTACACACGCGCTTTGTTGTCCCAACGAAGAAGGCAGCCAGGCGCCCCTCAAAGGCCGGGCGCAGTTCTTAATGAAACCCGGCGATCAGTCAGATTCGGAAGCGAAGCCCAAGCGACTCTTGCCGGGCCATCAATGACAGGCTTGCTATGACCGCAAATTAGGCCCACAACATTGGCGAGGCCATCAATCAGGCATGGCACGAATTGCGAATATCGTCTTTGATGGATGTTACCACTTCTACCCGCTTTTTCAGCTTTGCGCCTACTTACAGGCACTGCATTAGACGCCTTCCCTATCTGAACAGACAAGTGTCTTTCTCGCCAATATTTTACTCTGCATCCACCCCCATCGAGCAGCAAGTTGCCGTCTCGGGGAAGGCTCATTAATGATCCGCGACTGGGGTCGGACGCCATGCTGCAACCGACGAGGTAGCCGTCACGGAGAGGCTACCTGCTTCCGACCGGTGAGGCGGCAGACTATCGGAGGGCGACATCACAAGCGACTAGTTTTCCTGTGATGTCCGCCAGGCGGCAGACATCCCAAACTTGAATCCCTTGTCAGTGTTCAGACGCCTGAGCAAAAGTTCCTGCCACCTTCCTCCACTTTCTTGTTTTTCTTTTTTGTTCTTGTGCTTAACCACGGACCCATCCTTCCAACCTCCCTTGACTACACGCGTTTCGGCAGAGTTCAGCCTTGGTTTGCATCCTTGCCTGATGAACATGCTCAGAAATGCAAGGTACGGTTGTGTCTTCTTTTAGCATTGGCAACCACAATCTCTACCAAGGCGTCGACGCCCGTTTGCTTTGTGAATGTATTGATCGATTGGAGGGTACGTCTGGACGCCTTTTTATAGGGTCCCTGGGCGGTTGGCGCATCAATTGTTCAAGGAACCCCGTCACACAGAGGATCAATTGGCTCTCGCGTAATAACGGATCTTCCCCGCCCTCGCCGTACCTACGCGCTTCCAACAAATCTGGATGCTTTCCTTGCGCATACGCACACTTTTCAGAATTGGTTGGATTTGAACCTTGCAGTTGCCGTGTGAGAGCCTCGATGCGTAACTCAGCTTCGTCTTCAGACAAAGATGGTGTGCAAATCTCGGTCCCCCTTTCTGCAAGGGTTGGTTTCTGCTGGCCCTTGACCCCCATCATTTCTTTTTTTGGGACTTCCCCTGCAGCTCTCTCCATCAAGTCTACAACATCATCTCATCCCTGGGCCCATTGAACTCCTTGAATGGTCATCCATTCACTGAAAAGCCTTCGAGGCACATTCAGGACTCGATTCCTGGCAAACCTGCAGGAAAGGCAACCAGGCTGGTCGGGGATACGAGGCCTTCTTCTTTCAGGCTATCTGTGTACATTCCACTTGTTTCGCTCATGCCAGAGTTTTTGAAAAAAAAACAAGTTTCTTTTGGAATTTCTGCCCGAGTGATATCGTTCATCGCACTCGGTAAAAGGGGCTGTGTCATGGGTTTCTCGCATATTGTCTTGGATATAGCTGGATGGAGACATCCTCGGGCTAGAAGGTATCGACGTTGAGGGGCCGGGTCACTCCATACGGCCCCGAACCCGGAGGTCCGATCTGGGCTTCCACAAGCCCCATCATCCCGCCCAAATATCCGGGACGGACACTGCAGGCAGAACGCCACCAGTATCATTTGCAATGGATCTGCAGAGATGATGTCCGAGACTTTACCGTGGATGGGAACAGTACCCGGGTTTCGCATTTTCGGGTTCTCTACGTCTTACAGCAGACATTGATTGGTGCCGCAAGCCTACCCGGTCAGAGTGTCCGGCATCTCGGTCTGGCTTTCGTGATACGAAGACAAGTCAGACCTATGTCGCACAGTCACACCATGAGCCCCTTCCGCACCAGTTATCGAATGTTTCTGACGACATCTTGCTACAGTTCGCTACCGATGTTAAAAGGGCTATTCTTTGCCTGCCGGCCTTGGCCATCCTAGGCTGATACTCAGACCAAAAGACAACGATGTTGATCTACGACAATCGAAGCCACACGAAGACCCGAGCCCATTGCTGCTCATCATACAGCCTTACAAACAGCCTGGAACACGGCAATGGCCCTCGTCGGGTAAACGAACCTCCTGGCTGCTCTTACACGCCGACACGCATCAGGCTTCACAGATGCACCCTGCCGGTTGCCTACTTTTCTGGAGACTGAAGTCGGTCGAGTTCGAGGCCCGTTGCATCCTCGGGCTTCTCTATCGTCTACCGTGGCATACACTCATTCGGAGATTCTGAGGCGAACACCGAAAGACACGTCGACGTGACCTGTCACGAGACCCGTGTGTGGAGATCAGGCCGAATTGGTCAAGGCTTACCCGAGTCAGGCAGAGTCGTGACTTGTATTGGACTGAAGAGCAGAACCATGCAAACCATCAACAGCCCGCTCCCGGCGGCCGGCATGCCGCGTATGTGAGCCGCACAGCCCCGGGGTATTTCATCCCTTGTTGAGCACGCCAGTTGGCTGGATCAAGTTGCTACCATGTAGATATTAGGTAATGGAGTGGCTGGCTTCAACAAAGTGAGGTATGACTGAGATATGACTCGCCATCCTGCCTGTGAGATCCACCAATAGATCACCAGGGCGTAGTGGATGGCAAAACACACGGATTCCCGCCCACGAAGTTGATGCCCAATCCGAGAGGCGGAAAGTCGAGGGGCTGACGCGAGAGAAAATTCTACCAGGTCTCTCTACACAAACTAAGGCCCATGATGGCCCAGTCTGGGTGGTCGACTGGTGAGGATTCTCCATCTATTGGCCGTAGCCATTGAAAACGCGGCCCCATATGCGGACCCCACACCAGAACCACACATTTTGCCATGCGGGAGCAACCGAGCATTGGGCTGGGTATCATTCTATAAGTTGTGACGGGGCCTTGCACGTCCGCCAGCCTCATTCAAGAGTCGGTGTTGCCCCCCCGCCTGTCCCGACGATCTTCCTTGTGGCCGTCCGGGATGCGGGCTTCGGCAACTGAGGCAGACGACGATGGATGTAGGAGACGGCGACTCTCATGTCACGGCCAAGGGATCAAGTCCTACGCAAGGCAAAATCAGATGACATTCCCGTCGACCAAAAGACAAAAGGCAATCAGTGATGCTTGTAAAGGATCTACAGGATCACATATTCATGATTAGTTGACCGGCTTGGCAAAAGATCTGGTATGGGAGTCGAGACCAATTGGACGACAGAAGACGCTTGACCAGGGGAGCCGCATTTCCTCGCTTAGTATTGGTCGTTTCCTTCCTTGTGGGACTTCGATCAGTCTCGAAGACGCCCTTGCGTTTCCTCCCACAGACCATCCAAGACGTCATCAATTTACTCTTGTATCAAATCCACAATGTCGTCCTTCTTCGCGCCGAGTCTCGGAGGCGGTTGTAATTAACACACCATAACCTGGCTGTTGCAATCACACAATCATATGCGTACTCGAAAGAATCAAATCGTTGCACAGCATCATCTACTTTCACCAGGTCCTGTAAAAGAAAAATTGAACCATCACACGACATAACATGACACGAACCTGAGGGGCTTCCATTCCCGCAAATTTCTGCCTTGGGCATTGTCTTGCCGACGTGTTACCCCAGAATAGCATAATCAGCGTGTATGCACGGGATTGATGGAATGAGCGCTTTGGCTAGACGCCAAATGCCCAGCATATACCGAGAATGGTGCTCGGGTTCGCATGCAGATCCAACCGCTACTGTATCACGACTCCTCAGCTCGTTGAACATCAGATCTTGGCCGAACTAAAACCTTGAGTCACATGCTGGGTTTCACGAGAACGTGCTACTTCTTTGGCGTGTAACCAGGGCATCCTCAAACCATCAGATTCTAAGGCGGCTGACACATCGACGATTGATTACCTGGCCCTAATCTGTAGAGCATGCGAGTGGTACGGGCAACAGTGTGTGGGACTACATCGTACATTTCTAGACTAAGTAGGCAACGAGGGATGCTTGTCTATACTTTGGATTGGGGTTTGATGCTTATATGTCGTGGCAACGGTGAGTGACTGCTCTGGCTTGGGTTCCGCCACCGTGGGAACGGCAGTGCTGCTTCCGAAACTATCTTCTAGCACGGCAATAGCAGTTCTCATGCTTTCTGTAACGGGTGAGTCAACTAAGGTAGGTATGAAAACAGTGCTCTTCGAAAGGTAGGTTTAGTACCTTATTGAATAGAAGCTGAATCTTGGCTTTCTGCCTCTAGCGACATAACTCGAAATCTGTGCCGCAGCATGTTTTGAACGGGAAGCTAGCAGGGATAGGAGCAAGGAGGTTGTTGACATAGCACTTTTGACGGTCAGCCGGCGTTACAGTGACAGAGGATAGCGTAGAAACACCAACCATCAGTTTCTTGTCTCCTTGCGTGGACGAGATGAACTTTTCGGCATTACAACATGACGTGGTTTTGGCATCGGTCTTGCATTTGCAGTCAAAGGCTGCTTGGACTCTGAAAGAATAGTCAGTGATTAGTGATGTGACATAGCTGAGACTCTCGGACAACTTACCCGAGGCAAAGACTGGCAAGAACCAGAAAAACATTTTGCAACTTCATGGCTGGTAATTGGCTGAGTATGTAAGTTGCTCGGAGTCAATGAGAGAGGTGGATTGGTGAACGGTCTCTTTCTTGAAATACAAGAGGTGTTTTCTGCCTTATATACTTAGCCGTTACCAGCATCGTGAGTGGCAGTCTGCAATCAATAACAGTTCAAGGATGCGGACAGGGAGCAAATTGTATAGTGCACCGTTTCTGGAAGGTCTGTAAGCCGGACTTCAATGAGTCGTTTGTCACAGTGGGAAGGAACGGCAAGTCACAACGGGGAAGTTCGAGCATGCCCGAGGACGTTCCACAGGTGTTCCATACAGAGCAGAAAACAGAGCTTTATCCCAGCGCACCGTAGAAGTAGTCGAGAAAATCCTGAATGCACTTGCTATCTCTGGTATTCCTATCTACACACATTTGAAGCCAGAGAACAGTTCACCAGTATTCCTCATAAAGCACAAAAATGAAAAAGAAGAAAACAACGTACCGACCACTCAGCTGGTAAAGGACGCAGTTCAACTAAAGCCTTTGAAGGCGCTAAGCTAAGGGGTCAAGCTCATCCCTTAATTAAAAGGAACTGACTGCAAATTAGAGCTGATGAAGTTCTTAGCAACTATCGCGTCTTTTTCCTCTGTTCAGGGGTGATGTCAGGCCTCCGAGTCAGGTGCCTTTCCTGGTTTGGCTTGCTTGGGCGTCCTACCCTAGAAGGGTCTTCAGTCGAAGGGTTGAGGCTGGTCTTCATGTGTAGTGGTACATCCGTCCTTTATTCCTCAGACGAACCATGCATTTGTATATCAGCATCATGTTCCAATGTATGCAGACGCTCTTCTACTGGACCACCTTCCCTTTTTGTGTTGACTGTGCGCCGTGATTCGTGGAAAGGAGGCGTCGGAGCGAGAAGATTTGCAGCCTGCGAAACCTTCCTAAGAGCTCTGCGGTAAGACCGAATCTTTCAAATTGGTTTGCTCCGAGAATTGCGTCTGGAGATGCGTGACTGACTGAGAGGTTGTCTAGGTTGTAAGAGGCGGCTTCCCTAAACAGGAAGTTTACAAGCCAATAAGGTTCGAACTAGTGTAAGAGCAGGATATTATGTCGCCTTTTGACTGAATTTCGAAGTCTAGGCCGTTTGCGCGAGTCAAACTTCTGAACAATATATTAGGAATCGGTTTCCTCGGCACGCTTAACTCGGCACACCCTGGCTCATCAGCTCTTTTCCTTGTTGTCAACTCAGGCCCCGTCGCCGCCTTATCAGTCCCAAGTATCTCACTTGCCGCGCGTCAATCTGGCTCTTCATATGGAGTTTCATCGACGCTCCCTCGATTCCGGCAAAGGAAAATTCCCCTTCTCATCGCGAGATCAAAGCATGTCTTTCAATCAGTACTCTGCGGATGGATATGCGCTATGGCAATGGATATGCTGGGAAGGGCGCACAGACCTGATCTTCAAAAGAACCGAGTGTTTTCATAATTAAGCGGCATAATTTAATCCTGATAAATAAGTTATAATTGTCATATGTGTTGATTGAAAAAAGCAGTTTATCTTGATTTTCATCAGTGTTTGAACGTTTTATTACTTTACTAACTATTCAATAAAGTTAATTTCTTTAAATAATTGTGGAATAAAACGAATAAAGAAAACTGGCCGGGAGGATGGGCGCATGGAAGGCTGGCTAAAAGCCACTATCTCATCGTTCCAGCTTTTTAATGTTGTCCTCCGTCACAGTGTGATGGGAGTGCTGACCCAGTCCTTTCTGGTAAAGTTGGAGATACTTCTTCTTAGTGTCTTACTATCCTGAGCTGCGATTGGCCAGGACTCTTCTCTTGATGAGAGCCCTTTCCACAAGCCTGACATTCACGTCTTTCACACGGCGCGGCATTTGATGAAATCTGTGCTAATAGATGTGTCATTTGTAAGCTGATTATCTCGGAATCAGAGGGATCCCTTGCGGCCTTCATCGACTGAGAAGCAAATGGCATCTCCATCGTCTTATGGCATATTCGACCCATGCTCGAGTACCTGCGGTCCTCAAGTACTCAGCCACATAAGGACTGCAACCATCTCTATCGGCGACCCCGAAGATGACGCCGCTTGTCTTTTCAAAAATCAGGAAGTCATGTTGGGACTCAACACATGACCCGCCCCTCGATCGAGCATGCGTATTTTCCCTGCCAAACCCCAGAAGAAAGTTGATAGGAAGCCGAGATTGCTTCGCAGCGGAGCGGAAGTGAGGAAACCTTCCCCAAGGGATCGGTGCACGACTTCCACGATGTCTTAGGGCAACAAGGCTTACGCAGCTGAAGCTGAGAAGACCAGAGGCCTCTAACCACGGAAAGAATCCCGTACTTGGGCGATGCTGACATTTTCTGATGGCTCGTATCTCTATCCAATGAACGAGACATTTCGCGCATCACGATGACTCGGAAATTGTTTCACACTCACCCCAGGTTGATGGAAGATCTTTGACGCATTCGAGAACCTCGTGTCCGTGGTGCTTCCAAAGATGTCAGCCATGTATGACTGTATTCCAGGTCAGGCAATCGATTTTATGCCAATTTTCTTGGTTTCAGATGCCTTGCTCGTCAAGAAGGGTCTAGAACGGGGCAATACACCGAAGATTCGGGTCAGCGCCTTCTTGAGGCCGTGGGTCTCTTCTGCCTAGATGTCGCACCTGATGCTCTGGAGGGTCACTCAGATCTCCACAAACTCAAGAGAAAGTCGGGTGGTTGCACATGTGGAAAGGCAGCCAGGCAGATTTTGGATTGTATGCAACCATCATTCTTTTCGCGATGCAGCCATTTCATAAACCGACCACGTACGGGACTTCACGAAAAATAACACTGGCACTACCTTACACTCGCTTTTCTGTGTGAAGTTGGGTGATGGTGGTCAGAGCCGAAGTCTAGGCAGCAGGCAATCTTGAGCAGCTAAGATTTATGGCCTAAGGTTGCTCATCACGGGGCAAAGTTCAATGTTCATATCTAGGCAATAGTTCAGGTTCTCTCTGTCAGATTCTACACAATGGTATTATTAAAAAGTGGAGTATTTACTAAGATACGTTGTCGTGCGAAAAATTGCTGCCTTCTAAAGGCTTGATACTGTCAGGTTATACTCGTGGATTAACAAGGCAGTGTCAGGAAGTGGTTATCCGCAGTTTGTAAGGTTTTCGACGTTAGGTCGCGTATAGAAACCTTCAAGTTTTCATTTGATTTCAGATGAAAAAAGTTAATTTCAGCGATTGACAAGCTTAGCACACTTGAAGCAGCTTCATGCCCCGCTTGCCAACTGCTTATGCTGCATCCTCAATCGAGCACAGAGATCCACCGTGGCACCGTCACTGCTAATTGAAACCTTGGCCTTACTCTGAGTAAATTGATCTCATTCCAGGTAAAGGCTTGAAGGCATAGATTCTTTACTGCCTCATCAATGGCGACATCGCTCTCTCCTTATGAGTGAGTAGTTTTGATGCCCAAAATTGCCCACAAATCGATCATACCCTGCACCTACTCACAGGCTATGGATGCTCAGCTTTCACCCAAACTCATTCTTCAATCGTACTGGGCCAAGAATTCAGAAAGGGCCTGGGTTGTGGTTGACTGCGCTGGACAGCACAGCTTGAGCCATGACAACAGCCTAGTCCAGGCCTGATTCCCAAGATAATATGCCTAACCTAACTTGCCAAAGTATCCTAGGTAGTTTGCCGCATGCCCCGTAAAGCAGTCTTGTTTCAAGTCGAATACAAAAATTGGGATCAATTATGAATATATATTCCAGATAATTCCAGGCTTAATCGGTTCGGTCAATTTTTTGATGATTTAACTTAAACAGCCGTCATAACTCAGTAACTATACCGCATTGAGTACATTGCTTTCCCTGGCAGTCCAGCCCGTCATTCAACCTTGAGTTTGAAATTGCCAAGTATCAAAAGTGTAGAACGATGCCACTCAGGAACAAACCTTTTGATCAACTCATCCCTACGAACTGAAGTCAAATGGTGTTAGCCGCTGCAAACCGGGCTAATTCGGGTTGGGTGATCCAACCAAGCAAAAGCAATAGAAGTGCTTCATCCAATGTGTTCAGGGGTCGAGACGCAGGCTGCTCCCGTAGTTGCATGGCATGGTCAAGCACATGAGCTGGCTCACGTGATGTGACTAGGCGCAGAGTGATGTGACCAAGGCATGCATGTTGATCGACGAGGCGAACCATGCCGCATCCATGGATGAGAGGCATCAGGCAACCAATTTTTTACTTTTTGTGTGCAACATGTACGTGCCCTACGATGAGGAGACACTGTCCAGATCATTTGCTCGAATTGACCAATAAGGTCAGGTAAGGTCACTTTGCGCTCTCTGCAAGCTTCGGCATTTTGCACATTTGGTTCGCTTGTGTGCGAGGAGTTTGAGCCACGCTTTCCTCCAAGACAAGTCTCAATTCATTGAATCAGATAACAACCACTTTGAAAGCCCCGAGTCGGCTTTACTGGCAGTCATTTGACTGCTCGACTCACTTTCTTCGATCACGTCGACTGCGTTGCCCTCAAATACGTGGGGGCCAATCTAGGGATTGCACCCGTGGCGCCACGTTTTGTCGGAAGACTTAAAGACCCTCAATAGCCACTGTCTTGCTACAACCACCTGTTTCCCACTCTCAATGATCAGATTCAGTCCAGATAGCCTCGCGGAGGATACGCAGCAGAGACATTCTTCTCATTTCGAGACCTATTACGTCTACCTCCATGGTACCTCAATCGGAATGCCTTGGAAGGCAACCTTGCGCATGACCGAGACGCACCTCACCATGTCTGATTGCAACCTCGGAGACCCAGGAATTGAGTACTAAGCCAAGCCAGCGGGCGTTCGTCGGTGAGTGCCTATACACCGCCACGGAGAGGAGGTTGGCTGCCGCATGCAATCAATTCCAAGGCAACACGAAGTTAGGCAATGGGATGATGAGTCGACGAGACCCAATTATCGACGATGCATGGTACCGAGGCCGGATCACCCCATTTCAACATCGTCAGTATCCGTAGATAACAAAACCTGGGTGTGATCCCGGTCTAGAATACATACAGACTTGTCAGGGGTTATGGGCAGATGGTGATTGGGGAATTGAATTGAAATGGCAATGAACGACAGGCCCCCCCCCCCCCAGCGGCGTTTGTAATTAAGTTGCGCTCACTCACAGCGATTCGATGATTATCAAGAAATGTCTCTTGACTAATATTCCACCGCCAAAACAATCCGGCTCGCCCGACCCGGGCCATGTCGCGAATATCCTAATAGAGTCTACTGATCTACCCCATGAGTTAATATACGTTCATGCATGGTCTCTGATAAGCCCTGGGTTAGTGACACCATGCAGCCATTCGTCACAGCATCCATCCTCTACGACGACGCGGACGGGTGGCTGCTTTCTCGCCAGCAAGACACCGTCAAAATTATTCCCTACCTGATTCCAATCCCTACTGTCTTCTTGAAGGGGGACGCCTCGGCCGCGAATGCACGGGTCGTCGCTTTGAGGCCTACCTAGGGCAGATAATTGACAATTAGTGGTGCTTGGCTCCAATGCCTGGCCCAGCACTCCTGCCAACTTGTTTCTTTCGATTCCAGACATTTAATTATCCCTTGGTTGCCTCGTGTGCCCTTTGGCGCCAGGAATGCTTGTTGAACGTTCCTAGCTGTGGTTGCCCAAGCGCCCGTTTTGACAATTATAATTTGACTAGTCTCCTGCCTCCATTCAAAGCCCTGCATCAATGGAACTCAAATGGCGGTTGGCCATGTGGTTTCTTATCCGCCCGGCGCTCTTAAAAAGGCCCTCATTGGACAGTGAGCCAGCAACGAGGCATCCCATCACATTGATGTTTGCTGTGCCTCGCAAACAAACTCGGCCGCCTTACGGATCTCCTAGACAATCCATATTTCTGGTAGCCTTGATGGCGTCAACGTCCTTCGCATGTGGCCTTCAAAGGCCTCGCGAATAGTCGTGAAGGATAGTAGTGTGCGTAGCAGCAGTTGGTCCACGACATGGTCTTTCAGGGAGGCTCTCTCGCATTGCGCCTCTGAGATTTTCTTTTTTCTGTTCTCCCTTGCATTCGACCTAGTTTTAGCCCCTAGCAGTCTGCAGACAATACTGGTCCCCTCGGGCCCCCTTACATCATTATACTCATGCCCAGGGGCTCACAGGGGCTCTGCGAGCGATGGCATGCGAAAGATACATACTATAACGCGATTTTATTGGGCTGATGACAATCTGTGCCGTTTCGTCGCTTGAAGTCGTGGTCAATGGATACTTTTCGCCTAGCCTCCTCAGCTGCCAGTATACAGGCCGCCATTGCAGCCATTGCGGCCGTGCCGCGCCAAAGCCCTATGAAAGGGGTTGCGGAACGGGACTCGGTATAGAGACTGACATGAAGACGGCAACGGTTCCCGGCGATAACAATGTTGTGGATCCTCGGCGCCGGCCGGGTCGATCGGGTGCCGGAACCAGATGCCGGAACCTGCAGGCGATATTACCATATCCGATCGATCCACCATTCCCGAAGTCTCCGCACCCGGATCTCTCTTGCCTCCTTACACAAGCACAAGCCCAATGCAAGCGGGAGGAGTACCCGGGATTTTTGCACTTTCAGATTATCGTGACGAGTTCCTACAGTTTTCGATTGGCTGCAAGAAGATCTACATATAAAAGCTGGCTCCAACCATATCCTGTCTCGGTGAATCGATCTCTATGCGTTGCGCTGACCGGGCGTTCCACAAGGCCTGCCAGCGAAGTATGCATGTGTGGATCGGCAACGACCGGGCATCAAGTTGTTGCCACATGGTAATAGAAGGCTACGAATCGGTCTTAAAAGGCAGGTGCAGCCATTGTTTCCGTGTTTCAAGGCGAGCTGACAGCCATAGCAGCACGGCCAATATAGCGCCACACAGGAACGAGTCAACATAGGAGGCTGTCCTGCTAAACACCGTCATGTACAATGCCCAACAACACCATCCCGATTTTTTCTTTGGACAGTCTGATCTCTTAGTTGCTAGGGCCACTTCGATACATGGTCTGCCTCAAATGCGGCCCTGCGGTTGCCTGAGATCCTTTCGACAAGAAGACTTCGTTTGCGGGCCTGCTGCATCGCCAATATAGCTGCGGTTCCATCGTGGCAGCGGTTCATTCGCACATCCTGCTCCAATCATTAATAACAATGCTGACGGCCTATCATGAGGCCTGCGTCTGAGAAGTTGGGGCGGACAGTTGGCTTCAGGGTTGCTGCTGGCGTCAGCCCAGATAGGGTAGGGCTGTAGGGCTGCCTCATTGGGCTGCAATACAGGAGTTGTCTAGAAATTATTTAGGCTCCGTTTCTCAAATATTCGTTGTTGTGGATAACGTTTCTAAACTCTCGATGCATCTAGCTCATCATGAATGTGCGTCGTATCATTCTACCTGGGGCTGCTGTGCTTTCCTTGAGTCTGGGGAATCTTGAAAGTTGTTTCCAAGATGACTCAATGTGAGGGGGCATGTCTAGAACAATGCTCTTGGAGATGTGATCTGTTTGAAGATAATAAGCGATGCTCATCATTCGTCACGCCCATCTGCATGTGACTACTTTGGAGTGGAGATATTGCGTCTGTGGAGCCACACACACTACCTACCTAGATCAACAAGCCAGACGACACTGCATCGCCCAGTCGGAATGGCCCGCAATTCCCCCCTGTACCTAGGCCCTGTCTGCCATTCTTCAACGGCGCCGAGATGTAGTACCGCAGCTTCATTTAGACATCGGGGGAGACCCAAGTTCCATGGAATCCGGGATACCTAGTTCGGCCATTGTGTAGATTCAGATCGATAAGTAAAGCGACTACTCCCGTCGCACTGCCCAGTCATGGATCCTGAAAGACGAGATTTGAAGATTAGACTTGGGCGACGGATGCCTGCGAAGGATCCGCAGGATTAATTTCCATGACGATGAGCTAGCTTGGACTACGTTCGGTGAGCCTGGAGGCAACGTTCTTGATGAGAGACAGTCATGAGGCGTCAATGCACTTTGTGTGAAGCTGTTAATTGCGAGGAACTTTGTGAAAGCCCGATCCGTCTGGGAGACGCCTTTGCGTTCCCATGCACCAGAGGACAGCAGGGACGGCCCCCGTCTGTCTCGGAATCAAAAAAAGACATCTACGAAGAGTCATGAGGCTTTCCAAGATGTGATTTCAATACAGCTGGTTGATTGTACGAGACATTGTTATGCAGAGCTTCCGTACTCGAACCACATCCTCCATCTTGCGCGACGTTGGACAAATGTGAAGTGACATGACATCCGAGGCGATACAGAGAGGTAGTTTTGCGGGATGATACATGAACCTGAGGGGTTCTGTCGTGCTGGTTCTCGAGCGTCGGTGTGACATATCGTGCATGCATCAGCTTGATGATACTGACTCTCCTGTCGAACACACGAGCCAATCAATGCATTCCAACACTCATGCTGGCACGCTATGTTGGATGCCTTATCATATCAGTAATCAGTCTGTCTGACGTGCAATTTCCACTTTGATGAAACTCGTTCTTATGTGTTGGGGCTCACGAAAAGCACATTTGCACTGACATTCACCAATCTCTGATGCTTAACTTTACAATATGTCTTACTCTATAGGATATGTGCTATATCAAAGTGCCTTGCCGGCCCGATGTCTCACATCTACCTTGTGGAAAACCATATTTGTGGCAAGTGGATAATGGAGACTACATTGAAATCATGCCGTTGTGTCGGTGAACTCACCGACACTTTCTTGGCATGGTATTTAGACGATATTGTTCCGATGAGTCACTGTACATATCTAGAGTCCGACGCCGGCAGTGAGGCTGCTCCTGCTACCAGCATCGGCTTGAGCCTTCTCAGCGATAGTCGTGGTGAACGTCGGGGGGTTTTTTTTTGTCTTTTTTTTAATTGTCATGTAATTGGTGAGTAGGGGCAAGTGAAATACAAGAGGTTGGTATCGTGGGGTGACGTGATGTCAAGTAAAGAAGAGGGTAAAAGCGGTGAAGACTACATGTAGACTAAGGCAGGTTAAGGTAAGGCAAGGGCACTTACCGGCCACACCAATCCTACCGCCAGGTTGCCCGGGTGCCCCCCCTCAGGATCTTGTTAGATTAGAACCGGAAGTTCAAGTTCTTTTCCTCGTGGAATCACGATTTTGTTACGAATTTCCAAAGACTGGCTTTGAAATCACGTCCATTCCAGGGAAACTCACTGACATTGGTGTCACTCTGACGTTCTCTCAAGCATCTTCAGCTTGCCCTACTTTTAGGCGGGTGCCACCCATCAACAATTTTCTGTTGGACTGAATCGCTTCCAGCTAGTCGTTGATAGGGTTGGCGCTGCATTGCCAACGAGAACTAAACGTGTGCATCGTCTTCCTAATTTACCCACATGTCGTTGTCGTTCCTTGATCTAATGACCCACTAAAAGAAGAAGGCAACCAAGCTAAAGCAAGATAATTGTTTGCCAAAACCCCTCACCTGAGCGGTATCAGCTTCCTAGTAAGGATGTTGTGGCTTCGATGGCTCCGTGTGGAGGATTTTCGTCTGCCAGCTTCCAACACGCATAGCCGATCAAGTATGGCTGTCTTCCCAACGATATTTACGACGCTCAACAAGGACCAACAGGGTACCGGCACTAACACTTGGAATTCCATATGCAGCCTGTTTTGAAGTGGGGTGGTTGGGCTCTCTGGAAGGCTTCCTGGCCCTCACCACGCCCGTTCATTGTGCATCGCCTGAAAGGCTACACCGTGGACCTGCATAATGAGCGCATATAATCAGGCGTCATGTTGATCTCGTGGAAGGAAGTAGATAATAGCGCAGCCAGCTGAATCCATAGACACACTACTGCATCGTCGGGTTTCACTGCCCATTGTGTCCTGAGTCCCGAGGAAAGTGCTCTTATAGCAATGGAGCCTCTCATGTCGACGAAGTGGAGAACCTTGAGACGCTATTCGTCATTTGGAAGGGCTTGTTTAGCAATGAATGAACTCACTTTACGTCTAGTTCCAGTCTGGAAGAGATGGATTGGTCCTTCTGACGGAAAGTCAATGCCAATTTCAGATGGAACATTGCTGAGCATTGAGACGATGAATTAAGCTTATTTTGGCTACCCTCATCGTTGCTTGCAAGAAAAAGAAAGGAGACTTTGGCATTTCATAGATCTAACAGTGAATACAATAACCGAGACTTGTTCTCATCCAGTTATAGAAGCAACCCCCATAGACTGAAAGAACATTATCTCAACTCGATAACAGACTGCCAGTTTGCTCCGTGCTGAAGTGCCATTTATATTTCATTTAACGCTGTGATCCTGTACTTAACAAATTCAAGCACGATTCATGGATAATTTGCACATTTACTGTGGTTCGTTCAGTGCTGGGAGACTTCAAGTGTCACAAGGTTGTATATGGCGTTGATTGCTAACCGCAATTAAAGGCGTCGTTTTGGCGACATCAAGTAAAGTGGCGATCACTTTACCAAAGATCAACGTAGATATACAGGTAAACAAGTTGCAGAAACAGTTCGTAACGTTAACGATGTTGGAGAATAAAAGTGATTGTTTTACCTCATTCCTCATTTTTGTTTCATCTTAAGAGTTGGGAAGCTTCTGAGAACACTCATGCCGTTAACCACTCGTTATAGAAAGCTACCGCTTTTCAAATGTCTGGGTTGAGAATCCCACCGCTCATGCCTGTGGCTTCATTCTCATCACTCCAGTCTCGAATGAAGCAGCCCGGAGACCCGACTCCAGTCCTTCAACCCCTTGACCGTGACATTCGCCGAGATCCAACCTTTCTTCTTTTCAAAAAAATAATAAAGACACCTGCGACGCAGCTGGCTGTGTTGAGATGCTTTCCGACACCTAGGCGGTCGTAATAGGCAGGGATCACGCGGAGACGAACACTTTTTGGCATACGCGCCCGTTAAGTAATCGGTTGTCTCTCGATGACTACAGTCAACCCCAAACGATCTGTGCTCAAGGTAGTTCTAAACAGCAAGCTCTTCAACAACAATCCATAGTTCACAAAGATTACGTAGCACACACTCAACGAGCTGCCTGTCAATGCGAAGGGAAAGCCTAGGGTCATGATTACAAACTCTGGTAGTCGCAGGATAACTTGGACAGTGACATATTAGAGTACACCCCCTCACTAGTGGCATGGTCTGCAAATCTGGGTTGACTGCAACGTTCAGATGCAGATGGTCGCAGTGATCAACGGGAGCAGGGAAATCAAGGTACAAACTCAAACGACTCTATTATATCATGGATATCATACAATGTTCTTTTATCTACGCCCAACGCAAGTTGGTCTGCTTCTTGCGAACCTAATTCTTCGTCAGCGAAGTTCAAAACATTCTGGAAGAACAGGAAACTTACAATGGGTCCCAATACAGCGACACCAACAGTGAGTGCGAGGACAGTCGAGATCAGGCTGATCTTGTTGAAGCCCTTGCCGAGGATATCAAAAGCAAAACTAGGCGCGACACGGCTGCCAAAGACATCGATGCCGTAGGAGAAAACCAAGCTGGTGCTCTCTACAATAGTGGGTGAGGTGATGATCTTCTGCACGCCAATAACGTCGCGCTGATGGGTGATGACCTGTCTCGGGTCGATTTCAATGGCGGGGTGGTACCTGATAAGGCCCTCGGCCTCCATCTCCGCTGGCGTCGGGTCGCGTCCGACTGGACGTCTCGGCTCCAGGAGCTGACGGGGGAGACTGACGATGGCGTGAGACTCTGGTAGGTAGCCAAGAACGTGGCGACTGGTAATGCCCTGACGAGTCTGCGTGACAGCAAGAGCTGCCAGAGGCGCAGACAAGATCCAAGCTTGGCTGATGACGGAGGGAAGGGGCAAGCCAGTCGGGGTATCAACAGGCTCGGTAGAAGAGAAGTTAGCAGCATCACCAAGCGGGCCTCTGTCGTCGGCGTATTCGCTCTCGTACAAGTCAGAGACGATAATCTGGTTTCCCTTGAGAGTTTGTCCAGACAGAGGCTGACCAGCATCGTCCTTAAGAGCATATTGTCCGAAGAAGGAACAAGCGAACCAGTTCTCGGCGAGAGTACACTCAATGTTCTTGTTGCCATCGACTCCCTCGTGCGTGGCTGAGTGGAGAACGGAACCGGAAACCGAGTCGATCAGGTAGATGTTGAGGGAAGACTTGGCAGTGTTGTAGGCAGAAACAACAACGGTGTTGGGGTTCAGGTACTTGTACTTGACACGCCTGTCGCCGAGAACACGCCCGATGGAAGCAATAGGATCGTGGACAGGGTGGGTTGCAATATCGACAATCTCATAGCCCGTTGGCGGCGCGAACTCCCAAGCGACCTGCTCCTTGGCGGTGCCCTCCTCATTGATGTAGGTCAGGCCCTTGAGCTCGCCCTTCAAGCCGCGAACGACGACAGTTTGTGTGGGTATCCAAGCAGCAGGAACATCACCGATGGCGCCTCCGTGTCCAACGGGGGCAAGCCATGGGCCCGAGGGGCTATCGACAATGACGGCGGCTTGAGTTTGCACCCACGAACCCTCAGGCATAGAATCGAGCATCTTCCCAGTGTCTGTGCTGGCAACGACGTAGTCTCCAAGGTAGCCGCGAACAGTAACGGTGGACTTTGCATCTTCGACAAAGATACCCTTGATATCCCAGATATTCCCGGGGGCGATGTCAACAGCATGGAGTTTCCAAATAACTTTGCCATGCTTGCCGATATCGATGCCGAAAAGCTTGCCTCGTCTGGTCACCAGAACCACAATCTTGTTGAAGCCGAAAGCATCGCGAGAAAGACCTTCCGTCTTGGATGAAAGTTCGGCTCCAGTAATGCTGCTAACCAGGCGCTGAGGAATGGAGGCGAGGTAGTCAGGCAAGTAGGCGAGATCATCAAAGTGACGTTGGACACGGTGAATGTAAGCAGACAGGACATTGTCGTGCGCCTCAGCTTCGAGAGTTTTAGCGAGGTCCTCGCTTTCAGGGATCTCTGCAAAGGCTGCGGCAACACCCCCTGTGAGACCTTCAGGGCGAGCCCAGGCCTGCTCTCCGTCGCGGACCAAGACCCAGTCATCCAGCGTAGTAACAGCGGCGCAGCGGACAGCGAAGTTGTCGGCGGCCTTCTTGATAACTTCAGAGACGGCGTGAAGAGCCGCAAATCTTTCGGTTCCTTCCTTGAGCGCCCACTTTCCGAGAATGGCATGCGAGCTTGACGAGGTAAGGATGACCTCCTCCTCGGTGATGCGCGTGAACCAGACATTGGCGCCCTCCGAACTGGTCGAGAAAGCGCCCAGCCCAGGAAGTACGGGCAGCTCGTGGTTTTTGGTGACAGCATTATTCTTGATGTTGATGTGGTAGACCTCGCCCTTGTGGCTGTCGGAAGATCTGCTGTGCACCAAGAAATGCGGCTCCGCATTCAGGTGATGCGGGGCATGAATAGCTATATCAAGGGTCTTCGGGAACGGAAGAGCAAACTCCTGCTTCGACTTCGTGCCCAGAACGTTGACCTTGAGCTTTGTGTGATCGCTATCGAGCCAGGCAACGATGGGAGACGCAGAGTTGGCGCCAACGAACATGACATCTCTTTTATCCGTAACGTCGCCTTTGCTGCCGAGGCTGATATCGTCGATACGCTTTCCAGTAAGAGTGTCGTGGACAGACACTCTCACAGCCCACGCACCGTCGTTTCCGTAAAGGCTGACGACGAAGATTTTCTCAATGTTGTTGGATACCTGTAGCGGGTTGGTCTTGCTCGCATCCTTGAATTCCCAAACGACGGTACCGCCGGCGCCGTTGAGCCTTCTCAGGACGGTCGAGCCATCTTCCTCCTCAAAGAGAGCCAGAACATCTTTGCGTCCGTTTTCTGTCATCTCCATGACTTCCAGATCTTTGATTGTGCCCACAAAATCGATCCACCAGGCGTTCCTGCCGGACAAGGCGTTCCAGGCATGCACTGAGCTGCCGTACGCAGATACAACCCAATCTTCGCCCTCCGCCGCTCGCAAGTGTCCGCCGCCATTTGTGATGTTTCCCGTCAGGAACTGGCGCCAAACAACAGCGCCGTTGCTAGGGTTGACAGCTCCGAGAACGCCAACATCGCTGAGGGTGTAGAGTAGCGAGGCCTTATCGTCGCGCCGGGGCTTGTGGAATAGGGTGGTCTCGACTTGGGGGACGCCAATGAGCTCATGGTGGTAATCGATATCGCCAACCTCGTCAACGAACACCGCGCCGACGAGCGATGTAGCTGCAAGAAGCAGCGTCGTAAGGCGCATGTTGATGGGTGGTGTTCTGAGCTTGTCGTGGAGTTGGACAGCTCCAAAAGTGTGTGAAGCTCGCACGTCACTTGGTGGTGGTTCGTCGTGGTGGGAGCAGTGCTGTACAAAGCATACCTTAGCGTAGGTACCTTACTGAAGGACCTTGTCTGCAGTGGAGGCCCATATTTGCGTTGGAGGCGTGGCTGATTGGATGTGGGGGAAGGCCCGTGCCAGGCGCGCAACATTGGCGGCCGAAAGCTTTCAGAAGACGGCGGCGCCGTGTTGTGTGACTTTCTTCTCCAGAGCCAAACACAACCACAAGCGCAAGGAGTCCAGCGCTCTCTCCCGTCGCCAAAGCTCTCAAAATGGTAATGCATCTCCTCTCAACCCCTCAGCTGTAACATGCTAATATGTGTAGGCGCGAAATTCGGAAAAGGCGCAGTCCATGCTGTTTCGCTTCCGCGAGGCGCAAGCAGCGGACCTGGGCATCATCGACATTGGCCGGACAAGACGACCGAGAGTGATCACCGAAGTCGATTCGATACCGTCGTGCGAGAAGTGGCGTGGCCAAGTGTTGAAGGAGATCTCGCGCAAGGTCTCCAAGATTCAAGACACAGCCCTCAGCGACTACCAGATCCGCGACCTCAACGACGAGATCAACAAGCTCATGAGGGAAAAGTACATGTGGGAGGTGCAAATACGGAATTTAGGTGGACCTAATTACATGCGAGGGGGCGGCAAGATATACGACGAGGAAGGACGAGAAATACCGGGAGGCGGCAAAGGCTATCGATACTTTGGACGGGCACGGGATCTGCCCGGAGTGAAGGAGCTGTTTGACGCAGCCAGGTCAAAGGCCAGAGACGAGAAACCTTTGGAGACGAGAGACGACTTGCGGAAACAGGTCGATGCGGCCTACTACGGTTACGCGCCAGACGAGGAGGACCCGGAATTGCTGGCGTTCGAGCTCGCAAAGGAGGAGGAAGCGTTCGAGCACATGGCGAAGACCGGGAAGCAACAACTTCCGCCTGGCTGGGAGGCTTTGCCGGGCGACACAGGCGACGGCAAGGCCTGGGAGCTACCGACGCTGGAGGAGGTGCAGGAAGAGTTGATCAACAGGCGGCGGCAGAAGCTCCTGGACCAATTATAGCAGCCAACCCGCGCGCTGCCTTTTCGCATACGATGAGAGCTGCTTTGATCTTTTTGGAGGGTCATGGGTCTTTTTCGAGAGGTTGTGTCGCTGCTGTATCATATTGCAAAGTCGGGGTTCAGTCATAGCCTGTGATGACGGCTGGCGTTCTTGGAGGGTTTTACGGCTATTCGAATACCAAAAATGCTATTTCTCATCAATTCGCCGTCGATTCAAGTTTGCATCAGAAAGCTTACTGCTGCTGCTGTACTAATGCCATTGCTGGGATGATGTCCTCGTAAGGTGGAGTGACCTGCTTGCTGTGTCAAGGTAAGAAAGATCGGTGAGCTCGGTGAGCGATAAGATAACCCCTCCACGTGACCAATCGCGAACTTCAATTCGAGCTTCGAAGCTCAACTTTTGCGATTGCATGACCAGCGTCATCCCGTCCAATCCGTCACAACCGCCGCCAAAATGTCGATGTTCCGTGCAAAGAAGCTCGATCTGGGATGTTTCGTCAACATCCGGACGATTCGTGACCACACGAAGCGCCAGGTCTTTATGCAGAACGAGCCAGAGAGGTTAGCAACGGAAACCTCACCAGCAAAGCCGACGAAACAATCGAAAAACTGACGCGAACCCGTGATTAGACAAGCTCTCCGATATATTATCCAAAACACGACGCTTCCCGGCCGTGTGCGCGCCGAGGCGCAGCTTCAGCTGGGTCAGATGCACTGCTACACCCGGCCGACGCAGATCAAGAACCGATGCATCTTGGGTGGCAAGGCCAGGGGTGTCTTCCGCGACTTCAAGATGACGAGGGTATGTCGAAGGGCTATTTATTGCGAGTCGCGAGATTTACTAAGATTTAATGGCAGTTCAACTTCCGCATGCAAGCGTACGAGGGGAACATTCCCGGCGTCAAGAAGGCCAGTTGGTAAACGAGGGAGGCAGCGGGGGACGATATCCAAAAGTTAGGCGCGGAAACGCCGTTGTAAGATATACTGGAAAGAAATATGCGCCTTTCGTTTGGCGTGCTACGCTTACGAGCTTGCCCATAGACGATTTGGGGTTCGGCGTTTGGTCGCATGTTGGCACCCTAAGGATATGTACAGATACAAATACTACACAAACAATGTACAACAACACAACTCCGTTCATGTGTGAGTTGATTCTGATTGATAGTGGACGACGTTCGGTAGGCGCCATGCATAGGCAGGAAATCTGACGAGTGCAATTGCCTTCTCACCTCCTTCTGAAAAGCGCTCTGAAAGCTCTAGAATCCGGTTTCACTCACTGAGCTTAAAGAGCTTCCTTGAGGAACTATCCCACTTCGCTGTCACCTTCCTCCTGGCTTCTGTCTTCTACTCTCCCGGGGCGCCTTCTCAACCGCTCTCACTCACTTCTCTCATCCTCTCTTTCTCTAATCCTCAGCCTCCATCTCTAAAAAGGCAACCTGGGTCAGCGCTTCCTCGCCATCGTTCCATTTCCAACTAAACTTTCCCTGACATCCTCTTTCTTCGGTCGCCGCTATGTTTCGCCGCCGCTGGTCTTGTCTTCCCAAAGACCCCATTTTCTCGTCCAACCTGGAGGACCTTGGGTTTGCGGCCCTTCCAGAAACCACATGAATAGAGCTGACATTCGCAGCTATTTCATCAACGACCAAGATGAGATCCGCAATATCAGAGAGCCCGATTACTACTTCAAGTACTATCTTACCAAGAATGGCCGCGTCAATGATCGCCAACGCTTCCATTTCAACGGTAAATACTCATCATTGCTTAAATCAATCGCGCCTTCGTCCTAACTCTCAAATCAGAAGCGATTCGCGATATTGTTCACGCACGTCTCGAAAAGGAAGGCTTGAGCAAGGTCCTCTTACCTCTCGGCACCGAGCCGACTTCACCCAGGGTGCCCATTTTCACCAGTGCCAACCTGGGCACTGCCTCGCGCGTCGTTGTGATCTTTGGCGAGCCCAGCCAGGATCTCGGCAACTCGGCCCTTCGCGTCGTCAATGGTCCTGGTGGCATCAATAAGGGCAGCATGGTATCAGTCGTTCAAGAGATCAACCGCCAGAGAGCTTGTCCCTCCGACGATGGCCCCCCTGGAATCATTCTTGCCAACACGGGCGAGCTCTGGTGGTGGCCCGAGGGGAAGAAGGCTCTCAGCCCGACTTCGGCCTTGGCTGTTCCTCGGAAGAGCATGGTTCACCACGGCCGCGCCAACAACCCAAAATACCATGCGATCCCCAAGAATGAGTCCCCCGAAGCACACATCGCATATGTTCTCGACGAGGTCCTCCCTTACCTTGTTCCGCTAGCTGCTCGACTCGACATCATCGGCATAGGTCTCGGTGCCGACTACGCGACCAGAGCCTTGGATAGACCTGACACATGGACTGCTCTCGGCCACCGGATCAACACCTTGTCCTTGCTCGGGAGCACGACGAGCATCGATGAGCTTTCTCACGATCCATTCAAGGAGTTTCTTCCCCGACGCACCCGAGCATACATCACAGATGACGCTCCCGTGCTAACGCCTCTGGCTCAGCCCGGCGGCAATCCCAACACTGCCTCATTCACGGAGCATGGCTGTACGGTCTACAGCTCTGGCGAAGTCTATCACGTCGAATGCATCCTCATCGCCGGCCGTGGCCCTATTCTCGACTGGATCCAGGAGGTCGCTCTCGCTGGCCCCGATTATCGCCACCCTGAGGTTGTTGCTGTCGACCCCTACATGCCGACGGAGGAGGAGTGGGCTGCCGGGGGATTCGACGAGCAGTGGGAGAAGATGCCCGAGTCCGCGAAGCCGAGCATCGGGTACGCCATGTCGCCCGAGGCACATGAGCATTGCGAGGTCCTAGAGGGGATTCAAGAGCGTGTGGTTGGACAGAAAGCGGGGCAGAGTGATGCCTGCGAATGAGTTGTTGGAGTGAAGATAAGGCATCCATCCCTTAGATAGAGATTCAAGGTGGTGGCAAGTAGAATTTTAACGCTTGCATAAAGCATGATGAACACTTTTGGGTCTCGAGAATGTTCAAAAAGAGAGTGGGCCGTGTATAGGTCATCGCAACAGCTGGTAGACACCTCTTTGCCCTCTCAAGCAATTTGAGGCGTTGCCATCCTTAAGTTGTAGCTGGAGAGAAGATGACGTTTGATGAGAGTGGGTTGAATGTGCAAATGGTATCATTGACATACGAATTATCGGAACAATGTTGTACAGAGTGTATTGACCTCTGCTCCTGCGCGCAGAGCCATCTACATTGGAAAACCACTTTCCATCCTGGCTTACACCTGAAGCAATGAAGCCAACCCAGCAACAGGCGGTTCAACCTGCACCAACAACTCCTTGGTCCGCCGTATCCTCTCCTTGACGACCTTCTCCTCCGCCGCCCACCTGCTCTCCTCCGTCTTGGTCTCGGTCCAGAACCCAAACGCCGATGTCGTGGGAGCGGCTTTGTTCTTCGCCTCTTCCTCCTTGGCCAACTTGGCCACCATGGCGGACCAGTTCTGCAGTCCCGTGCCCAAGCACTCGCGGCACGTCTTCCGGGCCTCCTGATCGCCGCCGAGTGGGCCGAGCTTGCGGAGCTGCTCCTCGGCGAGGTCGACCGCGTCGCGCGTCCACGCGAGCCCTTCGTCGCGGTTCGCTGCCGGCTTCTTGGAGTCCTTTGCGGCGGCGGCGGCGTAGAGGATCTCGCCAATGTAGAGGTTCAGGCCGGCCTCTTCGCACAATTCTTTCGGGTGGCGCCAGGGCGGGCGGGTGCCGTCGTCCGGCGGTGAGGGGTACTGGGGCGCTTGCGCCAGGTTCCACACCCTTTGCCAGAGCGTCGCGGGCGTCTCTGTGGGACGCTCTTGGCCGGGGAGGGCGACTTGGGGTAGGGCGCGGCGGGCGCGAAGGATGGAGATGAAGATGGGGAGCGCGGCAGTGACGTCGTCGTTGCGCGCCTTGTGGAGCGCGATGGAGGTGAGAACGGTCAGCACGTTTTCGGACGGCTGCGTCGTCTTGTCGTTGATGGTGTACGTGCGGGGATCGACCACGGGAGGGCTGCCGGGGGCGGTCTCGGTTGCTAGGGACAGTGCCCACTGATACATCCTCTCGGCAGCGTCGGGCATCTGCTTGTAGTCTAGGAAGGAACCGTATGCCAGCGCGGCGTCCATCTTTTGGCGGTTGGTGAAGCCCTTTGTCGTGAGGATGCGCAGGTAGTGGTTCTCGGCGGGCTCGTAGGCGACCTCGCAGTCCTCCTCCCTAGGCGCGCTCTCAGCGCCCGGTGGGATCGGTTTCGGGTGCGGGTTGGAGGGTCCCAGGACGACGTCGGCCGGGAAGATGATGTTCCTCGTCCTGTCCTTGACCCAGCCGTCCAGCTGCTCCGCCGCCTGCGCCATAAGCATCAGCACCTCGTAATAGCCCCTCCTCCAGTTCTCGCTCTTGGCCGAGACGTCCTTGCCCGCGTTGCCGATTCCGTCAATCGACAGGGGTTCATCCAGCAGCTCCCGGATCGCCGCGCCATCGATATCTGGGTTCTCCAGCCTGGCCAGCGCTCTCCTGCACGACACGATGACTTCGACCCAGTTCACGCTGTGGTTCGGGGTGTCCCTGGCGGCGTTCTTGGCGCCGCGTACACCCATCCGCGTCAGATAGGACCACTCGTGCGGCGTCGGGTGCTCCTTTTCCAGGCCCTCCTGGTTGAGCAGGAAGATGATGCCGAGGATGCACAGGGCGCCGCCCCAAATGGAGACATTGTAGCGGAGGAAGAGGCGGCCCTCGTAGCGCAGGAATCGCTTCTTTTCCGTGGTGAAGTAGCGGGCGCGGGGCCGCGGTGAGGTGATGGGGATCGACAGGAAGGGTAGCTGTGGTCTGCTGCTGCGCGAGGTGAGGGAGGTGTTGCTCGTGAAGGGCCGTGTGGTCTGGAGCCGGAAGAGCCTCTGGAGGAGGATTCGGCGGAGGGCTAGGCGCTGGCGCATCGTAGCTGCGGGCCAGGAGGAGATTTCGAGCAGGCGGGTTGTTGTGTTCATACGAGTGTGAGAATCATGTTCTGGCAGCTTTGGGTTATTGGGTGCGGCGAATTTGTCTTTGCAATGCGATGAACACGCCGGGAAGCTCAGAGCTTGAAAGACCAGGGAGCTTTCAGGTTGAGCCATCCAAGGTTCCTTCGATGCCGATGTGGGGCGTTTGGTGGCCGGTACGGGATCGGCCAAGTCGGTGGGCGAATATTCCGTCCTCAGCCAGGATTGGAGATGCTGATTGGCCACTCACCTGGCGCAACTTTTTTTTCCCTTCCTTGACCGGCGAAGGTGCAAGTCCAAGTTAAGTTTCTTGTTAAGACCCATCGTTGGTGAGAGGGTCCTCCTGAAGCTCGTGTAAGACTGGCTTTACAGAAGGCCACTCAAGGCACTCCCTCTCTCTGTCGACTTTGCAATTCGCAAGCTCAGCATCTTGCAGGATGAGCGTTCGAGGTTGAAAATGTCTTCATTTTTCTCTAAGGCGGCGTCAAGTCCGCATGCGCAGCTGGTTGCTACCGCCGTGCTGTCAGGCGCCACGGTAGCATGTCTCATTCTCGGCTACCAAGCATTCGAAAGAAAAGAACGTATTCAAGATCTTAAGAAGTCCATCCCTTCTTCTGCTAAAGAAGCTGCCAAGGTGCACCCGTCTGCTCTACACCGTACGAAACCATCAACCTAACCACATCTCCAGCTCACTCGGTACGGCGCCGCATCTCCCCCCGTTGACAAGGAGGATGCCCGCAATCAGGCTCTCGCCAGGAGAGCGCAGGCAGGCGACTTTGACGAGGAACTCATCCTGGAGCAATTGGCTCGTAACAGGGTGTTCCTGAAAGATGAGGGCCTGCAAAAGCTTCGAAACTCATTTGTCATCGTCGTCGGCTGCGGCGGTGTCGGCTCACACTGCACCGCCGCCCTCGCTCGTTCGGGCGTCTCCAAGATCCGTCTCATCGACTTCGATCAGGTCACACTCAGCTCCCTCAACCGTCACGCCGTTGCCACCCTGGCAGATGTCGGCATCCCCAAGGTCCAGTGCCTCTATCGCCGCCTCATCGCCATCGCTCCGTGGGCCAAGTACGAGCTCAAGAACCAAAAGTTTGAAAGGATTGCCGCCGACGCGCTGCTTGCGCCCTGGGCCGAGAACGGACAGAAGCCGGACTACGTCGTCGACGCCATTGACAACATTGACACAAAGGTCGCTTTGCTCAAGCACTGCCACGATCACGGCATTCCCGTCATCTCCTCCATGGGAGCCGGGGCCAAGGGCGATCCTACGCGCGTCAATGTCGGCGATATCGGAGCCAGCACCGACGACGGGCTCTCCAGAGCTACCCGTAGGAAGCTAAAGCTGCAAGGCGTGACTGGCGGGATTCCTGTTGTTTACTCGACCGAAGTCGCCGGCGAGGGCAAGGCTGCCCTCTTGCCGCTTGATGAGGAAGAGTTCAAGAAGGGCCAGGTCGGGGATCTCAGTGTTTTACCAACATTCAGAGTGCGAATTCTGCCTGTGCTTGGAACCATGCCCGCCGTTTTTGGATACATTGCCGCGAATCACGTCATTCTCAGCATTTCAGGTGAGTGACATGAAGCGACTGCATCTGACGCAAGACTAATACAACAAACTAGGATACCCTCTCGATTACGTCCCGGCGAAGAACCGCGACAAGCTCTACACAGATATCGTAGCGTTCGTCCAGGGCTCTGAGACGAGAATCGTGCATCACAGGTACGGCATTGAGGAGTCCAAGGGTCTGCGCATCCCAGTGTCTCTCGGTGACGCCGCCTTCTTGACTGAGGAGCTGTGGAAGGGACGGAGCGCCGTCACTGGTCTCATCAACAGACTCGTGCTGGTACGGTGGAGACGGCCAGAGGGCCAAACTAAGCTGCGTATCGGCGAGGGCGCCGAGGAGCAGAAGTGGTCCAACATCCGTTTCCGCGACTTGGTCTGTATGACTAGAGACGAGGCTCTCCGTCACGAGAAGGAGTACCTTAAGAAGGATGATACCAAATTGGAGGACCTGTATGATGCGGACGTGATTGCCCGGATAGAGGCTAGGCTGAAGGAGGCTATCGAGGTTGAGAAGGATCGACTTTGAATAAAGATTCCATTGTGGAGCCATATCACGAGTGCATGTCTAGAAACCAGACTTTTCAAAAAGGTAACCATCTTAACTTGCGCTTTCACGGCCAGTTCAAGGGGCACGTCAAGGTGTGGCTGGTGAAGCAAGTGAGGTGTGGCGGTGCAGCTGGTTTTGGGTGGATTGCGTCGAGCCTGTACCTAGGTAATATGTCCTTGGGTACCCTACCTAAAGCTCGTCGCGTCTGACGGGGCTTCGGTCGCGACTTTCTTCTTCCATCATCCATCTGAGAGGTTTCGACGTCTGTCAACTCTGCCACGACACAAAACCGGGCGCGTAAATTTTCAGTTTTGATGTCTAGCACGGCTTATGGGTATACGTGTTCCTGCTGTCTAATTCAGCACCTTTGAGAGGTGAGCTAATTCGGACAGAACATCAGAATCGGGTCCATCTTGACTGACCTTATTCCAGAAGCCCTCCTCCAATCTCAGCTTCAACTATACATTGAAGCTATTCAATGTCCTTTTTTCATACTCCTCGCTCTAGCTCAGACCAGCCAGACATGCAGACTCTCGAGTGAGATCTGGCCCAGCGCCCCCTCCCCGGGTTGCGTCTGGATTTGTTCCGCGGTCGTTCCCCTTCTGCCCTATTCGTCTCTTTCTTTCGAACGCCAAAATGATTCTCATCTTGTTCACAATATTGTCTACTACCTATTCTGGTCTCTTCTGTCCAACCAATATTCCTCTCTCTCCCCTTACCTGCATTGATGAAAGCTTTCACAAACGGTTATGGGACCATCGGTGTTGCGGTTCTGTAAGGAACCCTTCTCTCAATGGCAGGACCAGCACCAAAGAACAGAGATCTGAGCAGGCACCATCTGGGGTTCCAGCATGGATGTATTGCTGCGTTTGCTGCAACGGCTGGCGCCGGTTCTTCGAAATTTTGTGCCGCAATGACGACAATCTGCAGTGTCTAGAAGCATTTCCTCCCTGTGCGTCACGGCTGTTACTCTTTTTCGGGGGGTCAGTGGTTTTGCCTTGGAGTTTTGTGCTTATGACGGGACTTTACATAGTTTTCAATCGGAGCTGGCCGGTAAGTTGACATCACGCCAGAAATGTCGATGCTGGGGAAAGCAAGAGCTAACGTCGAGTACAGGTTTCGAGAACTGCCAGCCAAGTGGCCAGCGCAGCGACACGATAATATAGAATTGCCCGGTGATGACACGAAGTCCAAATAAGCCAAAGTTGCAGACAGCACGAGGGTACATCCAGTCACTTTGGCGGAGACCCATCGGCCGTTGTCCGTGAGAACATGAGAGAGCTAATCTGAGGGCAATTCTTCTCGTCGAGGTGAGTCACAGTTGGGTGCGTTGGGCAGGGAACTAATCCAGAGGCATCCCTCTCTGGGCACCTTCAGATGTTGGGGAATGATGTCACCTCCCGGCTCCGTCTGTTCAGGGATATGCCCTCAGCGGAGTCGACGCCGGAACTTTTGGAGAAGAGCTGGGCAGCAGCCCCCTGGTCTATGAAATGACCGCGTTGCCGCCTATTGCTACGCGCATTCTGTCGCAAACAGTGTCTCGTTGGCTTTTTGCGCCATGCTTCTCGGCTTAATATCACCTGGGTTCTAATTTCTAATCATCAATCATGACCTCTTCTTCTTTGCTTCCACGACCCCTCATCGAAGGCATCTGCAATACGCTGATTACTGGCTAGAGATGCTCTGACTTTGCTGGAGCCAGTTGAAGTATCACCATCAAAGCCTGTAACATTGACAGCCTACTGAACAATTTATCCCAGGGGAGGACAGCAGCCTTTGGACGGACTCAACCTACTAGCTCATATGATTACTTACATGAAGCCCCAGTCCTAATTTGTCAATACCACGGACCCAGCCATCGCAGCAGAGCTCGAAAGGAGCACTGCCGACGGCATCCCCTTCCGTGCGCGCTCAAACCATGCCCATCACACCTGGACCAGGACCTTCCACTCTCTCAAAGCTCTGTATCCAGCTCGAGACTCTCGAGGAGATTGAAAAGGTCGTGAACCTCGCCCGCAGACACCGCCGCCGCCTCGTCACTGTCGGTTGCGGCCACTCGCCCTCCCACATCACCTGCACCTCGAGCTGGCAGCTCAACCTCGACAAGTACAACCGCGTGCTCTCGGTCGACACATCGACGGGCCTGGCTGTCATCCAGAGCAGCATCCGCCTCTACGCTCTCTGCGACGAGCTGGAGCGCCGCGGCCTGGCGATGCCGAACCTGGGCAGCATCAGCCAGCAGAACCCCCAAAGAGGAACTACGACGGCGCCCTGACGGCGCCCTGGGCTACTACATTTACCACAATCTGCTATACGTGGCGCAATACGTCCCACGGATGCTGCCCTGGGTTGAATGGTTCGTCTTCGGCATGCAGTACGGCTTCAAAAACGGGCCCACCACCTCCGCGGTCCAACCCAGCCGCAGGGCCCTCCTGGTGAATTGTCTCTACTCATAGTTTGTCAACGAGTGGGCCGTTCCTTTACGCAAAGGCCCCGAGGCCCTCCGCCGCCTGTCCTCCTGGCTGAACCGCCTTACGCCGACGACCGGGACTACATCCCGCACGGCATCCCCTTCTCGGCCGACGGCCTGTACGTCCACGCGCCCGTCGAGGTCCGCGTGAGCGACACCTCGCTCGCCTCCAACGCGCGGCCCAATGGCTCGAAGCTGTACCTGAACACCGCGCTGGACCGGCCGTACCACGCAGACCCGCCGTATCGAGAGCGGTACTATGAAGCGTTTGAGTGGCTAATCAAGTACTTGGGGGCGAAGCCGCACTGGGCCAAGAATTCTATCGAGAGCGAGGCAATTTAGTCGTTCTATGGTAAGGACCTGGAGGCGTAGCGCGCGGTGAGGGACAAGGCGAACCCGGAGGGTAGGCATCGCGAAAACGTGCTTGGTCGGGGGCCGAGGCTTGCGTTGGAGGAGGTTGAGGTTGAGAGAGCTGCGGCTCGGGGCGGTGAACTGAGCGTCGATGGCATCATTGGAAGCTCACAGTGGGAGGAACACCGGGGTGATCATCTCCATTCAACTTTGGGCATTGGAGTATCGGACCAGTGAAGCAATGGACTGATAACCCCGATCAATCCAGACACGGAGCTGCTGACCATGAGCTCTGGGTATCTTGAAATGGCAGATGGTGGATATCTAGAAAGGCGCCCGATGAACATCGCATACTGCTTCCATCATTGATGTTTATCAGTGCGAATCGCGCGACTGGATGGACACCACGAGCACGACGCGTATCGGATCTGCTGCTCGGCGTCGTATCAATGCAAACGCCGTATTTCACTAACACGGAACTTATCGATCGCATCATTTCTGTATCCGAGAGGCACAGGATGGAGCCAACGACCAAAAAAAAACAGTTTTTACGAGTGAAACGGGTCCCGATAGATCGCATTTTCCCAATCGGGACGAATACGGCTCGCGCAGCAGCCATCCTCCGTATAAGTCCCAGGTGATGATTGGACAATCTACATTGTCCCAAGTCCCAACGCGCCCCAGATCCTTGCCCAGTCAGCAGCACCATTGACTTCGACTCAAACAGGAAGCTGGGTACTAGTAGGTAACTATGTCAGTGATTTCTGGCGAGCTTTCTTGGATATCGGTTGACCTATTGTACAAAAGTCAATTGAATCCCTCGCCAGTTGATGATGGCTTTTTGTTCGAGGTTTTCTGTTGGGCTATCGGAACCTGGCTTTTTTGCTTTTTTACAGCCAACGACTCTGCGTCTTTCTAAAGACTTTGATCTGTTCAAATTGTCAAAAACAGTCCCTCGCAATGAGCGTTGGCGACGATTACTTTGGCCCGCAGGTGCGCGGCTACTTTGACTTCACCGTCTTATTCGAGCAGAGCATCCTCTCCATCCTGCCTTCCGCCCTCTTCATCCTCCTCGCTCCGATCCGAATAACCTCACTCTTACGAAGTGAAACCCGCGTCCGCTCAGGAAAGCTGTTATGGCTAAAACTGGTACTCTCCATCTACTCCTAACACTAGCATAGGCGAGAGATGACCTGACTAGATCTCAGTCAACCATAACTGTATTTCTTTGCCTCCAAATAGTCCTCATCATATTATGGGCCCTCCCATCCACACCACGCACAAAGGCCTCTGCAGCAGAAAGCGCCCTCGGTCTGATCGAGGCCATCGCCATTGGCGCCCTGTCCTATGCGGAACACAAGCGCTCCATTAGGCCCTCGTTGCTCCTCGGCGGGTACCTCGTCCTGACCATCATCCTCGACGCCGCGCAGGCCAGGACGTTATGGATCAGGAACGGCCTCACGCCCGTCGCCGGCGTCTTTACGGCCTCGCTCGCGGTCAAGGCCATCATGCTCGTCCTGGAAGAGACGCCGAAGCGCGCACACCTACCGGACGGCGAGAAGGACGTCGCCGTGGAGTGCACGACCGGCGTCGTGAGCCGGAGCCTTTTCTGGTGGCTAAATAGCTTGTTCTTCCAGGGCTTCAGGCTTCTGATCGGGTTGGAGGACCTGGGGCCCATTGACCCCAAGTTTGACTCGTCACTCCTCCTCGACAGACTCGACCGGGTGTGGTCCAGGGGTAAGTGCAGATTTTCTTTTCCTTCTTTGCGAGAAACGAAAAGAAGAAAACCCTTCCGAAACTGACCATAGAGTAGCCGAGAAGCGCAGCAAATGGAGCCTCATCAGAAGCGTGTTCTGGGCATACAGGACTACCTTTCTTGCGGCTGTGCTCCCTCGAATCCTGTTTGCGGGCTTCATCTTTTCACAACCGTTCCTCGTCAACCAGATTGTAAACTTTGTCGGGAGCCCCTGGACGCAAGACTCGAAGAACGTCGCCGGCGGCCTCGTCGGCGCGACGGCGTTGATATACTGTGGAGTCGCTGTGAGTGCCTCCGCAAAACACACAAAGGGCCGTGATCTTTGCACATCTCTTGACACTCTGTAGATTTCAAGATGTTGGTATCAACACATGACGTTCCAGCTCGTAACGCTCTTCCGCGGCGGCCTCGTCTCCCTCATCTTCAAAAAGACCCTCAGCCTCGACGCCTCGGCGATTAAGGATTCGGCGCCGGTGACGCTCATGAGCGTCGACATTGAAAACATTGCCGTGTCCATGACCTTTATCCACGACGTCTGGGCCGCGGCCATTGAACTCCCGGTGGGGGTTTATCTGTTGTACCGGCAAGTCGGGCCCCCTTGTTTTCTCCTGCTCATCCCGGGCCTGGGTAAGTCAATCCCTTGCCACACCTACTTCTCTTTTCCCATGATATGTTAGACTGACTAAACCCCTCCGTCTTAGTCTGTACTGCTCTCACGACAAAACTCTCCACGCGCATGGCACCGGCACGTGTCGCCTGGAACCAAGGCGTGCAGGAACGCGTCTCCATCACCTCGTCCATGCTCACGCAGATCAAGGGCATCAAGATGATGGGCCTGACGGAACACTTCTCCGGCATCATCCAGAAGCTGCGCATCACGGAGCTGAAGCTCTCCACCAAATTCAGAGTCCTAATCACCATCCTCAGCGTAATTGGTGCGTTTCCCCTCCCCTTCCTCCCTCCCACTAAACTTCGCCCCTTGAGCAGCAAAAAGACTGACAACCAGATCCCTCCCAGCCGGAATCGCCGATCAACTCACCCCGATCGTCATCATCGCCGCCGCCGTCTTCTGGACCAAGGCGGAGCAAGGGCTCACAATCGCCGAGGCGTTCACGGCTCTGTCCATCATCGTGCTGGTCTCGCACCCTCTTATCAAGCTTATCTCTTCCATCATGCAGCTCATGGGCGCCTTTGGCTGCTTCACGCGAATCCAAGAGTTTCTTCTTTTGGATGAGATTATCGACCAGCGGCAGATCATCACGAGCTCTTCTCAACCCTCACTGGACTCTACCCGTCCGCTACCCAGCCTCCACGGCTCCGATCCGCAGCCCCTGACGCCGCAGGTGGCTGAAACGGCGAAAATCAAGGAGATCGAGCTCGAGTCTTTGAAGAGGACAGACCGACCCTTCTCCATCGCCTCAGACGATACCAACAAGCCCGTAGTCGTCATAAGCGATGCGACACTGGTCCTGAAAGACGGTACCGATATTCTCAAGCACGTGTCCCTCACCCTCCGGCAAGCTACCGTCTCGATGCTGGTCGGGCGCGTGGGATGCGGAAAGTCCTCGCTTCTGAAAGCCATCCTAGGAGAAACCGGCATCTCCACCGGCAGCATCACGCTGCACACCTCGTCCGTCGCCTTTTGCGACCAATCCGCCTGGCTGCGCAATATCACCGTCAAGGAAAACATCGTCGGCCAGGCACCCTACGATCCGGCCTGGTTCTCGGCCGTCGTGCGCGCCTGCACGCTCGAGGAGGACATTGCGATGTTTCCCGAGGCTGAAGACACGATTGTCGGCACGAGTGGTGTGGCGCTCAGCGGCGGTCAGAAGCAGAGAGTGGTAAGTGTTCATCATTGGCATTGGGGGTGATGTGGGTGTTTTGTATGTGTGTGCGGGACTGTATTGCTCACGGGGAAATGGAATAGGCTTTGGCTCGCGCCGTCTACTCGCGCAGGAAACTGCTTCTCCTCGACGATGTTTTTAGCGGTCTTGATAATTCGACTTCCAAGGCTGTCTTCCGGCGTCTGCTAGGGCCGGATGGGCTCCTACGGCAAGCCGGTGTGACTGTTTTCCTCGCAACCAACCATGGTAAGTCTATTCTATCACGAAACAGGTTCGTCCACCCCTTTCTTTTGTGTAACTGACGAATCCATTCAGTCAACTTCCTCCACTCGGCCGACTGTATTACCATGATTCAAGATCACACCATCCTCTATAACCAAATCTCCTTCGACTCCGTCCCGCGCTCCGCCTGGGGCCACCTCGCTAAGGAAGAAGCCAGCGGCAAAGACCAAAAAGAGGACGTCGAAAGGGCCGAAGACCTCACCAAAGAAGTAAAGCCCGCCAGGACAGATCGACCCGTCGCCGTCGCCGCTCCCGGGACCACGGAAGCCGAGCTGACGAGGCAGACGGGGGACACGGAGTGCTACCGAATGTACTGCAACTCCATCGGGTGGCCCATCTTGATCGTGTTTCTGATTCTGAACATCACGTTTGTTGCTTGTACAAAGATGCCTCGTCAGTATTTTTTTTGTCTGCTGACTTTTATTCCAACGCAACGGCGGTATCGCTAATCACGCTTTGCAGAAATCTGGTTAAGAATCTGGACTGAACATGGCACAAATGATCGGCCGGCTATGCACTTTGGCATCTACCTCTTGTTCGGTCTTCTATGCATTGTCTTCAACGGCGTAGCTCTCAGGTGAGATTTTCCAGAGCGATATCATCGCCGTTGAACAAACTTACTGACTGATCAAGTTTCTGGATGCTCCTCGCCATCCCCCGATCGGCGAATCATCTCCACCAAACTCTCCTCAAAGCAGTTCTCGCGTAAGTTCACTTCACCCCCTCCGCCAGTCTTCCTCCCACGATTTTTCGTTAATACTAACCATTCCAAGCGCGCCCCTCTACTTCTTCACAACCACAGACAGCGGCGTCACCCTCAACCGCTTCAGTCAAGACATGGCCCTCATCGACCACCGCCTCCCCATGTCCGCCTGGGCCACGATCCACAGCTTCCTCACCGTCCTCGCCGAGACCGCCATCATCGCCACAGGAAGCTCCTACATCGCCGCCCTCATCCCGCCCTCCCTTCTCGCCCTCTACCTCCTGCAAAAGTACTACCTCCGCACCTCCCGCCAGCTCCGCCACATCGACCTCGAGGCCAAATCCCCGCTCTTTACGCACTTCTCCGAGGTCCTGGCGGGGCTCCCGACCCTCCGCGCCTTCTCGTGGGCCACCGCGATGCTCGGGCAGAGCCACGCGCTGCTCGACGCCTCGCAGCGGCCGTATTACCTCTTCTTCTGCGTCCAGCGCTGGCTCAACGTCGTGCTCGACCTCTTCATCGCCGGCATGGCGGTCGTCCTCGTGGCGTTTGCGCTGTACTTTACCAATGCCACGACCAAGGGCGCCATTGGCCTCGCCATGGTGAATATCATCAACTTTAACCAGACCCTGGGCGACTTTATCGAAATGTGGACAATGTTGGAGACGAGTCTCGGCGCGATTGCGCGGTTGAAGTATTTTGTGCGGTATACCCCGCGCGAGGACCGTGATGGCGAGACGGACGAGCCGCCTCCGGCATGGCCTCCAAGTGGAAAGATTGAGATGGAGAACGTGACGGCTGCTTACAGGCAAGTTCTCGACTTTTGAGCCCCTTTTCATGATGCCGGCCATGACCTAACGGTTCCCCTAGTGACGAGACGGATCCCGTCCTAAGGAACGTATCCCTGACGATCGAACCGGGTAAAAAGGTCGGCATATGCGGCCGCTCCGGCTCCGGCAAATCATCCCTACTCCTCACGCTACTCCGTCTCCTCGATATCAACCCCGGAGAAGAAGAAGGAGGAGGAGGAGGAGACGTCAAAATCGCCTCCCATTCCCTCCTGACTCTCCCCCGCTCCGCGATCCGCACGTCCCTCACGACACTCCCGCAAGACCCCGTCCTCTTGCCCGGCACCGTCCGCGAGAACCTCGATCCCGGGGGCCATACCCCCGACGCGGACCTGATTTCCGCTCTGCGCAAGATGGCGGTGTGGGAGCCCGTGGAATCGCGGGGCGGTCTCGACGCGGACATGTCTGCGACGGGGCTGAGTGCCGGACAGAAGCAGCTGTTTTGCCTCGCGAGGGCGCTGTTGGGGAAACAGCGGCGGCGGGGAGGGGGTATTGTTTTGCTTGACGAGGCGACGAGTAATGTTGACCACGCTACTGATGAGGAGGTGAGGAAGGTCTTGGCGGAGGAGTTTAAAGGGGAGGGCGTCACTGTGGTCGAGGTTGCGCATCGGTTGGAGGCGATTGTGGGGTATGATGTCATTGTCGTCATGCATGAGGGTCGAGTGGTGGAGGTCGGCAAGCCGCAGGAGTTGATGGGTCGGTCGTCGCGGTTTCGGAGTCTTTGGGATAGTCGAGGGGCCTAAGGGCTGGGTCTTTTTTTTCTCCCTGGCCCTGTGGAAATGAGGCGATGGAGGAGAAACTCGGCGAGGGACCATGAATGGTCTGGCAGATGGAGGTCTACCATCAGTAAGAGCAGCAGGATCAATATCAGACCAAGAAGATCCCGACAGGATCTCATTAGTTGTTACTACGTTGGGGCTGCCATCTCGGCTCTTCGCTGGGGATGGTCTGGAAATGCTCTTGGTACCAAGAGTTCTCGAGGCAGCTGTTCAATGCCATCTATGAGATTGCTTCTCAACCAAGATGAAAGTTTGACGGAACATATGTGCCTTTAAGCCAAGCTTGACATTTGTGGATACAACAATAGGGCTGTATCAATGATATGTTCACTCTGTGGACATCGATGACCGTAGTTAAGAACGTTGACTGCCCCAGATGAACTGGAAAAGACGAGCAATCGGGACGTGATTAAAAAATCCACAACCTCCAGAGAGAGATACTGCAATAATTTGAGTACCTTTGTACTTAGTTGACTCAACCTCGTCTCTGCTCAGCGTCAGGTCAAGTCCTCAAGTCCGCCAGGGGTGTATGTACGTTGCATGTTGCTGCGCCGCCTGCATGTTATTGACAAGACCGCATGCCAACCACAACACACCTCAAGATCAGGGAAAAGAAAACACAAGGGATCAAAGAGTCTCAAAGCTGGTTCTATTTTATAAATCAGGCAGCTACTTACCACAAGATGCTCAGGCGGGGGGTAAAAGTGCTCATGATCGACGACTACATACATGTCAAAATTCCGGCCCACGAGAAAGGCTCAGGGAGTGAAGAGCAGTGAAACCATGTCTGGATAGCCTGCCTATCAATGTGCCCATTATGCTATCCAAAAGGCACGAAATCATACTCTGATCCAGAGGTCCGCCCCAAAACAACATTGGCAACCCCCCCCCCTGCACAGCTCATCTCAGATGGCGGTTACTCCCTTACTTCGATCAGAAACATCAGCACACTTTACCAGAAGAACAGACAATATGCGGCGTCACCCGCCCGACCTGTCTCGTTTTCGTCATCATCGCCAACGTCACTGTCGTAGGAGCAATCACAGGAGATGTTGGCGGCTCGCTGGCGGTACTCGATGCTCTAAAGTTAAAAGACCAATAGAAACAATAAAATGACGAGACCTTTTTGGGCGTCAGAAGCTAATCTCGGACGAACAGCCAAGCATAACCCCATGTAGAAAAAAATTCCCACGTGCACCACAACGATATTATCCCAACAAAGTCAGCAACGCAGACAATATCCGATCCAGCAGGCGAATCCTCCTCCCCCTCCGAAAAATCTCCGTCCCAACATCAGGCTTCCTACCGCTCGACTGGCCCAACCGACCCAGCAAGACAACAACCGTCCCGGCGACGACCGTAACCCAGGCCTTTTCCAGACAGAATGCGGCTTCGACAGGATCGGCGCGGACCTCGACGTCGTCCGCTTCGTCTCGTACTCTACGGAAAACTTGTTTTCTGGCTTGCACGCAGTATAACACGCTCCACGGGACCACCGAGGCTTGTCTCGGGTTTCACTTCCACGTGGATCTGGCCATCATGGGTGCCACGTGCTATGGCAATTGCTTCTTGAAGAATAGGAGGGGGACGGCCATCGGCGATAGAAATCCCACAAATGTGAATGTTCCTGTGTCGGCTCTGTCAATGGAATCATCGGCAGCATCACATAAGAGCGGTCGACGAAGTATTCCGAAGAAGGAGATATGCCGGGAAATTTCGTTCAGATTTTCTGCGTGTCTGGTGGAATGATGTTTTGGCTGCGAGCAAAACATTCTCTTCTAACCCACCACAAACAGAGTGGCATCAGAACAGGGCATGCTGACCAGGACCATTCATGTCAAAAAGCGCATCGACTTTTGTGCTAAAAGCCTCATGCCTCTCTCCTCCTTCCCCTCCCCTCCCCTGTACCTTACCCAATGTTGTACCCATGCGACGGCGACGCCCTGCGGGTATAGGCCTAGACTTTCCCTGGGCTTCCCTACAACGAATGGCTTCGCGAGCAGACTCCGGGTTCCATCCGTTCGAGCGGAGAAAGAGACAAGAGGAATGAATGCCAAGTACACCGGTCGTAAGAACGGGCGAATAATGCGCGCTGGTTGCCCAACATGTGCCCGAGTAGTTCGCAGTTGCGATCCAAGTTGCCGCAATCCGGGCTTTGAAACGAAGGTACCCCTGGCTAAGCGCCTAGTCTGGCCGTGACTTGCCCTTTGAGCAAAAATGTTTTTTGAAATCGTAACGGAATTACTATACTTGGGTACAATTGGAAAAGGAAATCGTGTCGGAAGGGTAGAAACTTGTCGCACTCATGATAATAATCCATAGAATAATGAAAGAAGGAGACGTAACTCATAACCTCGGGGGGGGGGAGGATAAAAAAACTCGAATATGCCAACAACATCCATGTAAATCATGTACAATGCCGCGAGGCTTAAATTTGGCTTTTCCGCACACAGTAGAAAGATGGGTATTTTTTGAGCTCGAGAAGATTGCGCAACGCCTCCCGATAGCAGCCAAAAAGGCAGTCGTGAAGCGCCTGAACAATCCCCGCTGTGTGTCAAACAAGAGAAATCCAAGAAATCAAACGCCTTGAAATAAGACCACCGAGCCGTGAGGCTTTTCCATCTTGTCCAGCCGCGAGGCTCTCCGTCTTGAGACCACCAATGGCCGGTAGTTCGCACGACCCGATAATAAAGAGCTGCTCCTCGTCACAGCTTGTACGTTCAATCCTGCGGTGCTGTATGTTCCCGCTGGGGTAAGACGTTGTCGAGCCACCCGTTGAGCCTCGTGAGATCCTGTGGCGGTCGTGTGACCGATATATTCTACTCCATCACGATTTTGAGGCATCCTCTGTTGCGATCCGTCAACCCATGTCCTTATACGGCTTCGGCGGGGTCTTCGAGTTGAGGGCAAAATCACCCAAGACGCATTTTCCCTCGCCGTGCGTATGCAGAATAGTTTAGTGTCGGTGTCGACGAGAGCTCTCGTGCCCATGCCGATGACTATGCGAGTGGCCATGCCGGTGAGAGGAATGGTGACCTTCTCGGTGCCGGGAGGATGAGCCACTCCGCTCCAATTCACGCTCCATCTCTTCGACTCGTGATCTGTACCCTCGAACAATCTCTTTGATATGCTTTATTCGGTCAAAGTCGAGTTCCAACTCGTCCAGTTGCCGGAGAAGTTCGTGATACCGCTGGATCTCGGCATCGGCACCCTCAGTCAGATTGCCGGCTCGATCAAATTGGGCCAAGGTGAACACTCGGCTCTGTTCGCTGAGGTAGATCATTTGTTGTTCAATCTGGTTCATAACCCGGTCAAAGTATCGTCCTAGAGCTGCCAGTGAGGTGCTGTCCAGCAGCAGCAGTCCCTGGCTTGACGCGCGACTTGCTGCTCGTGACGAATTCGAGCCGCCTCCTCCTGTCCCTTGGCCCAGTGCCGCTTGTCCTTGACGCAACAGCTGTATCTCTTCATAGCTCAATCCCAGTTGTGTGTCCGGCACTGCATTGGTTTGGGTGGTCGACATGGCTCGGTGCAGCGCACCATGCGCAGCTGGGTGGAGGCAAGGCTCGCGGTTGAGATTGTTGCGCGTTGGGGTTGTCTGTGTTCGATGACGGATGGATGCCGTGCGGTACTACGGCGGCGGCGACGACGAGTTTCGGGGTATTGTCCCTGTCGGAGGTGGGGTTCGAGGGAGAGGAGGGGTTTGACGACAGTCGGGGGCGAAGGCGAGAGGTGCAGCTGCGGATGCGTGCGCGACGAATAGCATGAGCTGTGGCTCGGAGCTGGCAAGTAATGTAGCCTTTGTTTGGGCGATCGTAACGCGCGCAAAGTCATGATATCGTAGCGCCGACGGAGATCATTGCTGGTATATCGGACTGCGACCTCAGCGCGCGGGCGAATTGAGTTCGGACCAGCCAAGGGTTATTGTGATGGCGGTCGCTTCAATGATGTCGCGTCGGGTAGAGTGTGTCGCAGTAGGTCGAAACCATGAGATAGGATCGGATCGAAGGAGTGTCGTCAGAGTATTCGCATGAGCAGGGAGAAGGCTGTAGAAGAGGTATACAGAGCGAAAGGGAAGATTGAAAGAAAGAGAGATAGATAGATAGAGAGCGAGAGAGGAGAGCCGGTGTTTGAAGTTGGAGATTTTTTGGTGATACACAACCGGTGAGTCCGCACCCTCCACCGCCCGCGATGCCTTGCTAGTCGCTGCTACCCGCACAGGTCTCGGTTTGGGTCACCCAGACTCAGACCCAGGTCAGGTCTCGGCCGCTTTGACTTGTTGGGGAGAAAAGAGCGCAAAGGCACCGTCACAAAGGGCTCGCGAACGGGATGGTCCCTGGTGACGGCACACAGCTTTGTGTGTAGAGAGATTTGATGTATGCAGGCCGTGGGAAGCAGTTTTCTTTTTCCCCTGCGCAATGGGGGAAAGCTGGGTATCAGCTGACGGTCGATCTCTCCCAGGCCTTGGGGCGCCGCTGCAGCTAGCAACAGCGACGATGTACCGGTAATGCTCTGGGATCGCAAAAAGCAATCTCGGCGGGATGTGGCTGTAAGGCTAAGAGCGGGCAATCAATGGCTGATTCTGGCAGACTAAGGTAGTGACGGGAATTGAGCCGGCAGGGAGTCTGCAACCGAGGATTGTTGGTTGGCAGCCTTCCTCTCAGTCTCTTGTTCCAAAGTCCCAGTCGCGAATCGTGAGGTAGCGCAGACAGGAGCGCAGGTTAAGTGGTAGTGGTGTGTGTGGATGGACAGGAACAGTGTGGCATCCCTCGGTCGATATCGTTAATTCAAGACAAGCGCCGTGTTTCCGCCGTGATGGTATTGCGAGATTATTGGCCTTCCTATTTGGACGGATGGCTGATGGGCTCGTGATGATGGATTCCGAGAGGGTGTGACGGGGGGTTGGAATCGCTATCTAATACCTCGGAAGGACCCAAGACGCACACGGCTCGATGAACGCTATTGCTAGGGATGGTTCGAACAGAAGACGTCAACTGAGGGGTCGACAGACAGGTGATGGCGATGCGACGAGCGGAGGGAGGGGGCGAGACCGATGACGGATGACACCAGTAGGAGAGAGACAAAGATAGAGGCCGTCGAGGAGGACGACGGTGAGAAGTAGATTGGTTTAATATTCGAGCGTCGAGCGTCTCGTCAGAAGTTGCAAGTCGATGGAGATGCTGAATGGGCCCTCGGACCGGGAGATGCAGGTGCACGGTCGACGAGGTACCTTGGTCCCTCGCGAGTTCCCGCGACAAAGGAAGTACCTGCCTCCGTGGCTCGGTGCGACGGTGATGCACCGGATCTCCAGGTCCACGGGTTTGTCCCTGAGGTACGGATAAGGTAGGTAGGTAAGTTTTGGCCTTTGCAGACGGCAGGGCAGGTACCTCAAGGTGCACTACCTTACGGTAACTGGTATCCTTCCGCCTCTGTTCGTCCGCGTCCGCGTGATCGACGTCTCTCTCGCACATGCTGCTCTTTCTGCTTCCTCTCCTCATCGCCGCAAAATGCTGCGCGGCGCTCCGTATGCCAGTTTCTCATCACGCCGCGTTTTCTTCCTCTGGCCACAATACGACCCCACCGGCGCAACCACCTTAGGCTCGGCCTTTCAAAGAAACATGGGCCTCAACGGCGCATCCGAACGACTGCAACTCGGCCGTCTGGCGTTTCGAAACCTTGGAATATCGACCAACGCTGTCCAAAGGGATCTCTTCCTTTCCCGTGGGGATACCTGAGCGGTCAGTGCCTACCTACCCTGGAGTCCGTCGCACTGGGTTCGCTGCCGCAGGGATGATAGCTTCGAGCGATCCCCCGCCGGCATCCCGGGGAATGCGGCTTGGTTCGGTTAGCCGCCGCCGTGACTGGCCGCCCTCGCCTCGACTACCTACCACTTGGACAATGGGACCGGCCGGACAGGTAACGTGCCACCCCTTCAGCATCCTACCTTGTTCAACAGTCTACCTACCATTGTCAGGAGAGCCCATATTTCACTTGCGGGTACTTCCGACATTTCGGCAGACCAGATAGAACTTATACCGCCTTGAGGTTGCTCCTGGTTCGACTATCGTTCGTGCTGGTGTGGGCATGCCTTTTCTTCTCGCCGGCGACACATGTCAAGCTTGATCGGATCGTCCGATACATGAAAACCAATCACATCGGCGTTGGCGCGGCCCAAGTAGAGCGATGCACCAATACAATTGTGCGCTGAAAACGAGGAACGTCTGCTGCAGCTTCCGCGCTGTGGGATGCTGCGGAAATGTATGCACATGGTCGGAATGCAGCAGTAATATGCACATTACATCAGGCCTTGCATGACGCTTGCCTCGGTTATGGGGGGTATGGGAACCTCTATCCAGAGCTTGATGACATTCAGCCTCGACCTCAACCGTCGCGGATCGGGGTCGTCCAAGTATCCTCCCGCTCCTCAGTGACTCGCTTTCGAGGATCTGACGACATTTTCACCACGGGAGAATGATTCTTAAACGCCTCTGTATCACGTATTACTCTCTCACGTAATGAGGACAATAGAACAAGCCGGAACCGGGGTCAATGTAGTGTGGGTTTACGGTGTGATGCACATCGGCAACTTCACAATTCACGTCAACGGTTTGGCAGCACGAATAGCGCAACCCAAATCGAATACCGAACATGCAATAATTACCCTGGTCCCGGTAGTTCGATGCCCAGAGCTTCCCGACCGACCGGGCCGGAGTAGACGATACCTTTCCCCGGATGCCGGGTCACGGCAGGCACCCCACACCGATGGATCCACATTTCATCACACTTCACGTTCACCAATCGGGCCCACGGAGCTCCTCCTTCCGTAGGATATAGCTATCTAGCTAGCAATGGAAAGCCCTGGCAGACCTACTGTTGAACGCAACGTCTTTCCCCCGTCGCTGTCGCATTTTCGGATCAACGGACACTGGAGAGCTTCTGGCCTTTTGAACGGGTTTGAATCCGAGACCGTCTTACAGATCACAGCGCCATCAGCCTCGCGCCTCTATATGCTGAGCTCTGTTTATGTCTGAGACGAGCATCGCATCACTCGATGCCCGAGGAGTAATCATGGAATGCAATTATTCGTTTCAATCACATCGGCACCCGCAAGATCGGGGCGGCTCATGACCCGATTAGCCGGTCTGGTTTCCCCAAGCCAGATGTGATCTTGGCAGGCGGAGTATTGGGATCTTGGCCCATCTTGGCCCATCTCGGCCCATCTCGTACCGTACCGGAATCTCAGTCCGTATTATCATGAGGGGTCAGCACGACTACAATGGTTTACGTCCGCAGGCTGCCCCGTGGTATAAGAAGCGCGCATCTTGATCTTCATGCTGCTTCCAAATGGTCCGGTAAATGGTCTTCATCGGGCGTCCTTTTTAGTCATGTGGCTGCTGTGAATACTGTTATGATGATGATACTCTCTTTCACAACGGTACTATCTTGTATCTCTGCCGTCACGGCAACCATCTTGGAGAATGGCCGTCCAAGGGTGACAGATTTCATCGACACAAAGGTGGAACTTGCTCTTGGCGACTTCAAGACGTACGATGCCGATGCCGAGGAGATATCGTATAAAGGTCGATGGGACTCCAAGCAGATATCGTGGTGGGCGTATGTTTGCCCTGCGATTATGGCACTAACCCACAAACTAATGCCGTGTAGAGCACCGGGTATCAAATTCGGCTTCACCGGCCATACTGTCGCGGTTACCTTTGGCAACCAGACCATCAACAGCACTCTCGTCGCCTACAGAATCGCCGGTCTAGACTGGATGCACACCAACGTAACGGCGGGTGGCACTCACCAATTTGTGAGCCCCGAAACCCCAGGTATCGAGCTAGCTGGTCCTGTCAGTCCCGTTACGTTGGAGATGAGAGTGACAAACTGGGCATATGGAGTCCAGATCGACAAGGTCCATGTCGCTTCTGGAGAACAGCTTGTTAAGATCCCCGACTATCCTCGCCGGGTCGAGTTCATCGGTGACAGCCTGTCAGCAGGCATGTATAATACCTACGAGGCACTCGCGGGATTTGCGTACGGCGTCGGAGCGGGCCTGGGAGACACCGAGTATTCCATAACGGCCTACCCGGGCATTTGCGTCACCGACCAGGAATGTTGGGGTAATCCTCGAGGGCAGTCCCATCAGTGGTTTTACACATCGGATACAGGCGGACGAGCGGCCGAAGTGTGGGGAGGTATGTGTCTTGAGTCTGGACTAGGGAACCAGATGAACACGGTCTTTCCAAATCGAATCCAGATCTCTGTAGGGGATATCATGGAAGACGCGGTACTGACGGCGAGATGTGTAGATGAACCAGAACCTTGGGACTTCTCCAAAAACCCACCTGCCGACCTCGCTATCATTAATCTCGGCACAAACGATGCAAATGCTGCAAATAACGTCACCAAAGCGACCTACGTCGAACACTACAAGAGACTCATCCAGGGCATTCACGGCAAGTGGCCCGAAGCTCTGGTCATAGTCATGGTACGTCCAACATTTTGAGCCTCATTGTACCGTCCACTGACTCCGGCAATAGCAAATGTGGCAAGGCTTCTTCCAGGATGGCAACACTTACGGCCAGAGCACCGACCTTCGGGACGAAGTGTACAGCGTGTACGAGTACTTCAACTCGGAAGAGTATCTCAGCAACCCCACGACCTGGGATGCCGTCACAAACACGACCGAGCATACGGGTAGTCCGGCAAAACCTTTTGTGCACTTCTTCAACACGACGGGCATACTCCAACACAATGACATCGCGCCATTGTGGCACCCTACAGATGTCGGGCAGGTCAAGGTCGCGAGCCACCTGATACAGTACATTACTCTGAAGCTTGGCTGGCCCCTGTATGCCACCGGACCCGAGTGAGTCTTCCATGCTTCGATCTTTTTTTCCCTACGGATCGAGCCTTTTTTGCAACATGCTTGCGTTGCCCTCGGATCTTGACGGCAAGGCAAACTGAAATTCTACATGCTGACCGCCCATCGCATCGGCAGGGTATACCATGAGACCCTGTACTGGAACGATCAAACCAGCTATTAAGACGCCCCCCAAGAGACAGGAGGCTATACAAACGGGGAACTTCAGAGATACGTATTCATGGCACAGGCAGCCTCGGGCCAGACGGCACGCATGTCAAGAAACGCCATCTGTTATTATAGCCTATAATTCACCGTGATATACCAGCAACTTTCCGAGTTGAAACGCCGCCACTGTAGCCAGGCGAGTCGAAACACGCTGACCCGCCCGTCAGAGTGATGACAGTAGTTGACATGAAAAGAAGACTTGAGAGCCAAGCTTTGAGCCGCAACAGATCTTTCATGCCCGCAGAAGCCCTTGCCCCCCCCCCCCCCCCCCGGCCCCCCCCCCGCACCGCCCCCCGCAGCGCCCCTCCTGCTCCCGCCCGGCCCCCCCCCCCCCCCCCCGCCCGGGGGGACGTCGTACTGTATCGTCGCAGAGGATGCTGTTCTTGCGTCCGGACGAGCCAGCCTCCGACTTCTGTCCCCCCCTCCCCGCATTGGCAGAGCCCACACTTGGAATTGATAATTGTCTGGCGCGGATACTGTTTGAGATGCCTCATGGGTCAGGGGCCAGCCTCACAAGGCCACCCTGAGGGTCAGGAGCATATCATGCATCTTGGCCTCCCACAGACCCCACGGCAAGGCGAGAAAAAGATGCAAGTCGTCTGACACCTCGACGCGGCCTGGCTTCATCCCATTTCCCTTGACGAATCGAGGCGATGCACATGAGGCTCGGGCTGTCAGATCGTAGGTAGGCTGAAAAAAAAAGAAAAGAAAAAAAACATGAGACCGTGAAGGATTAAGCGATGCCCAGCAGTTTTGCTGGGTGAAGATGGGATGCCACGCGTTCAACCCGCTTGACAAGCGGTGACGGTAAGCTCGTGTCAAGTCTGACTTGGAATACAGACGAAACTTTACGGTCTGATGGCAGGTAGTTGACAGGTCGAACGACGGGCCAGAGAGAGAGAGAGACCGCGTGATAGGGCAGCCAGCGACCTCGAAAGCCGTCGTCTAGTTTCTCTCTTGCAACGTAGTTATGACCCAACTGCTCATCCTTTACACTTTGTGAGACGCCAGCTCTTCCCTCCCTTCCCCCCCAAGGGCACATGATTCTTGTCCTGTGGGTAGGTAGACTTTGTTTCTCACCGCTTCAAAACCCTCCTTGACGATTGTCCCGGGCTCGCATGAGATGCCCGACGCCGCCTATGAGGTGAAAGGCCTGTAGCCATCCGGTTTAGGGTTCGGGGGATTTACGCACTCTATCGACGATCTTTCATCCAGGATATTCTCGAAACACGTTACCAAACCGCAAATCCCCGGTACGGAGGGTCTTGTTGCTCTTCCGCTTTCCCACCCCCCACCCCCCTTTGGCTGGGTATCTGTCCCTTCCCCCTTCACGGAAGCCTCGTTTCCGTGAGCCTCCTACACCACGAACCCAAGCCACCTGTGCAGTTGAGGAAGTCTTTCTGGAGCATCGATGGACACACTCCACTTCCCTAAACTCCCCCCCCCCCCTTATTTGAGGATATTCACGTTTGGTACCGCAGTATCACTGGGGACGCGGGAAACGCCCCAAAAAGACGGTCTGGCGACACCCATGTCCTTTCGGAGTTAGCCATGAGCGTTACAGGATACCCCAGCTTTGCGCCAAGAACTCGGGGACTCTCCAAGTTGGGACGAAAGAAAGAGCGAGAAAGAGAGAGAGAGACAGAGACAGAGACGGAAAAACAGGGCCAAGTCAGACCATGAGACCAGACGGCGGCCATGCGTGCGTCACAGTCGAATTGCGAGACTTCTCCAAAATGGACGGTCTCGCGCACCGACGCCCGGCCTTGAATGCGAGAATAGGAAAGTCACGACCGATTGGAGGCCCCCCCCCCCTCTCCCCCCAAAAGACGACGGTACGGCATGTTCCGCCCAAATACGTTCATGTCGTCTCTTTTGTCGGCCGTGTCGTTCGTCCCGGCGCCAAGGGGGGGGAGGGGGGTGAGGATGTGCGGTGGCGCGCGTGGGAGGCTCCCGTCTTTTGGTTGCTCTTGTTATCTTTTTTTTTTCTTTTCCCCATCGAATCTGCCAGTTCTGCCAGTCTGTCTGGTCTTTTTTCTGCCCTCTTCATCCCCACAGACACAAACCCGGCAATGCGTTAGCGTCCGGCGATCCACGAGCTAGAAAGACAAGAGCCCACGCCCCAAAGTTTCGTCGATCGGTTTCGCTCCTTGGGTGTGTGTGTGTGTGTGTGATGTTGTCCTTTTTAATTTTAATTCATTTGGTTAACCATACTCGAGTCACTAATTAACAATCGGGCTCTTCTGGTCGAGCATACACGGATGCACAAACGGAAAAGAAAAGCAAAAGCAACAAGAGACACGTGAGGGGAAACAGACTGCAAAAGGTTCAAGGTGGGCTCGTTGACAAAGCTGTTAGTCAACCCACACATGAGAGACACTTTGGGCGACGCTGTAAAGCTGAAGCAGCACTGGACGACACGGCACCTCCACGGGTGCTCCCAGCGGGGTGATGATGATGATGGTGGTTTACCTGTGTGGTAGCGAAGCTCGCACCGGTATCCGCGATCCCGCTTGTCAAGATTCAGAGTGAAGGCGACGTTGCCGCAAACCCAGCCTTCTCACACACACTCACTCACACCCCCCTCCCCTTCCCCTCTCCCCTCTCGCCCCCCAAGCTCTCCAAGCCACCTGAAACGGGAGGGTTGTCACAGACGTGGACGAGGGCTGTCTTTTTCCCTTCTTTCTGGGGGTGAGCGATACGTATCTGTAGAGTTCCGTCGCATCTCTGCCCCTACGCCTATGTATGCGTACAACTACGGATACTGTTTGGAGACCTGGGCCAAGTTTGAGATTCTTTTGCAATTGACTCTCTGTCTGGTTACAGAAGAGAGAGCCTTGTGGGCCTTGTGATGGGCGTAGCCGCAATAGCCGTCTTCTAATGCTGGGATTTCCGAGATACCTCCAGATAGTATCTTTCACCTCAATTTTTCTGGTTCGCTTTACGGGCACGGCCTCGTCTTTTGGTGTCTTTCTGTCATGGGCGAGGATGCGGAGCACGCAGAGTTGCACCACAGGACTCCTAGAATCATGCAGAACAAACCAGGCCATGGCCATTCCCAAGTGACAATCTTGGGAGGTTCGGGGACGCGTACGTAACACCCAATAGGTAGTTGTCTGCGACGTTGGTTGACGATCACTAGTGGTTTGAAATATCGGATTCGGTATGCACAGTCGGGCAGCGGTGGCTTGCCGCCGTCTCTATTACCATTCCCTAGTGGCTTTCTGTGAGGGAATTAAGAAAATACACTTGCGGAATGGCACTAGGAAACCCTTCGGCAGTTGGCTAGCCTCACAGCAATTCGGCGGCGGGCTTAATAGAAAGCCCGCTGACGCCGCTGAGAAGCCAAGAGATAGCGGAGTGAAGGGGAATTATATAAAAAAAAAAAAAAAGGCCCAGGCCTCCGGCAGCTGTTCGAAATTGGTGGCTAATCATGTTGATCAAGACGATCTTTGGGATCGTCCGGGGACGAAAGGGAAAGGGGAGATGGAGTTTACGGACAGTTGGGATGTTGGGATTTTCTCCCCGTTGCAGGGATAGAGATAGGATGCTTCTCTTTCTACCCTCCCACTCCCTCTCCGACTTCCAACCCGGTTCTATCGACTGAGCTGTCGTTGCTTTGATTTCCCCCCTCTGCGTAGTAGCGCATGGCGTCGTGGCGGGAAGACGTCAGGTGCCATTCATGGAATTGCTGCCGTCCGAGCGGTGAGCAGACCAGTCAAGTCGTCTTTGGGTCGGCGAGGCTCAAACACTGACGTTTCTGGTGTTGCGCTAATCAGCGAGGCAACCTAAAGCGCAACGACGACGACGACGACGACGACAACAACAACAACATCAGCAACAACTGCCAAGCTCTCCGAGGCGGAATAATTCTCCTTCATCTGACTGTTTCAGCAATGTGGCTAGTGACAGGAGATGAGAGGGCGTGAGCGTGAATGTGAACGTGTGCGTGTGGGGGAGTGTCATCGCGGCATTGAATGAAATCTGCAATAGCAGAGTGGCTCGTCCGTCTGAACCCGTCGTCATTCTTCTTTTCGACTGACAAGCAGCGGCCTGCCAGCGGCCCGGACTTGAAATTTGGGCTCAGGGAGGGATGGGCAGCAAGGCTGTACGGTACCTCGGTGTGTTACCGGGTCGTGGTCAAGGTGAGGTTCCTCTCGATCAGATGAAGACCTTTGAAACACAACGTGCGGCCGTCATCTTTTCCTCTGACCTGGTCCCTCCCCCACCAAAACCCCCCAAACCACCCCCAACGCACACCCGGGGGAGTGGAAAGAGAAAGTGGTATGGGCGCGCCGCTGAAGGAAAGTTCAACGGGCCAATAAGTCGTCGACTCAGACGAAGAGGTCACTCTCGGTTGAGCGGCTGAAGCCATCTCCAAAATACGGGAATCCCCGTCTAGCAGTGCCGCCGTCTACAATGGTAGTGTAGCGTCTTTGATGGGCGGGAACAGAGTTTCCCTACCGGCCCCCCAGTACCATTCGGGGGGGAACGCGCTAACGTGGTAGTCTTGGAAACTTGGACGATGAACTAACCAAATTTCCCACCGCCGCGACACTGGGAACGGTGATGGGCTGCAAGCGTGGTAGCGGGTTGCGTACGACTTCCCAGGCCAAGCATGCGTAGCATCGAACGCACGTTTACAGCAGATAGGCCAGGGGATCGTGATGGGAGAAGGGTTGAAGGGTTGAAGTGGTGGACGGGGGGGTGGGGGGGGGGGATGCACGAGACTCCGAGAGAGAGAGAGATCCCCGCCGAGAAAGGATATGAATCGTCTGAGGTCTGCAAGCAAAGGAATGCCGGTCCCTGATTGTGTCTGCGAATGCCGACCCAGGCTCTCCCAGCCAGCCCAACCAGCGGCCGGATCCTGACGCCTGAGTCGTCGGCTCTGCAGGAACAGGCTCAGCTGGGGCTCGTGATCGGCACGCATCCCCTGCTCGGATGCTCTGCAAGGGTTCTGCTTGTTCGACTTTGACTTTGTGATATTGAGACGAGACGGGGTGGCACGGTGAGCGGCCGACCCTCTCCTCCCTTCTCTTCTCTCTCTACATAGTACGGATATAGCTAGTGTAGTACAGATACGATTGTTGTAATCCTCGCTTTTTCGGGCCGTCACTCAGCGAGAACCTGCGCTCTTTCCCAGGTAAAGTAAAGATGGTAAAGATATAGCCGGTTGAGACGGTGGCAATGGAACGCATAGCAAACTCAAACTACAGATGCAATAGCCGGGGAACGCCTCTCGATGTTGTTCAGTTTTAGTGTACATACTACCGCGGTGCCACGTTATCCCACCTCACCAGCGACACGGCAGAGCCCAATATCGACAGAGACACTAGACCCGGTGGTGACCTACACCGAATAGCCGGTCCCCCAGAGCGAGATTTGCCAATAACCCGACATTCATGCCCAAGAGATTTAACTCACTCGCTGAGAGAGTCCGGTCTCGTGACGCCACGGGGTAGATGAGGCCATGGAGAGTTCTTGGCGCCGTCCGTCGAAACCTTTTCTCGTGCCTAGTATAGTAGAATCTCTCGTCTGTTTAGGCTCATCTTCCAGCGAAAGAGGTAGCCAGCCCTCTAGTTCGGCACCAAAGCTAAGAGGAACCCAGTGGCTTGCGAAAATCCAACACGAAAAGAGAGCCACAGAGCACGGATTCGCTAGGCCCATCGCAAGCTTCCCGACGAACGTCGGCAAGGACAGGCCACCGCTGCCATTCTTCCCGGCGCGCCGGACAGGGGAGGGGCCTCGGGAAGGTGGGGGGGACAAACTATCGTTAGCCAAGATCGTTCCGCCCAAGAGGTGAAAGGTGTGTGTGTGCCCCCCCCCCCTCCCCTCCCTATCCCCCCGTCCCGGTTTTTGACTTTCTGGCGTGCAACGCTAGAAGGATTTTGGTCTGCGTCTAGCGTGAGGGCAGAAAGTCATTAGTAATTAATCCTAGAAGGGCTCCGCGCGCGGTACTCTGGCACACAGTAATTAATGGAGACTAAGCTTTGGCTCCAAGATTGCAGTGAAGGAGAGGGGGGAGGGCAAAAGGCAAGCACTGCCCTGTGGCTGACGACGGTGCGATGAACGGCGTAGCACTTCTCTTCTTCTACCGATACTTAACTAGGCTATTGATGGGGGGGGGGGAAACGGTTGCCGGCTCGCTCTGCCCACACAAGTCATTATCGTCGGCCCCTCCTCCCTGCGTTGGGCGAGTTCCTTTTTGGCTCTGCATGGAGCCGGGCTACCACGCCGTTTTCCTGTGGACTGTGCCTGGCGCTGCAGGCATCGTCCCTCTTTGGTGAGCGAGATGGAATAATGATCACCGTTTGCGGGTCGCATCCGTCCTTTTCGAAGATGGGAGGAGCTTGTGGATATAGAAAGGGGGAGCATGAACAATCATCACAACAAATAAATATAATGTCAGCCTCATTCATACTTTGGCTGTTCCTGTGGGACGACCGAAACACTATAGAGTTGCAGTACAGAGTGCGAATACACACGTAAATTTGGAGAAGGGGAACTACATACAGCCGTGCCACCGGCGCTTGGAAGCCTCATCTCAGCGCGCCAGTCGATCCACACCGCATCCACCCGACTCCCGATATTGGATTTCCCGTAGCAGTCCGGCTTGCTCGGGGGGGTTAGCAAGTTTGTTAATCAAGCCATGTCTTAGACTCGTCAGTCAAAGACTCCGCTCGGGGTGTTCCCATTTCCTCCAACAGGAGGCCGGCGAAGGAAAAGCTTGGTATTACATACGCACGTAGTACGAGTGCGATGAATTAAGGGTCCGAGATCCATCCAACAGAACAACGAGTGACCATGATGGGCAGAAGATTGACTCGGCGGGTAAAAGGCGGAACAATATAACATGATTGCAATTATTAGGGCTCATTGATCCTTTGCAAATCACATCAATAAAGTTCCACAAACCATGTCCGATCAAAGGTGGCACCCGAAATAGTAATAAAAAAAAAAGAGGGTAAAAAAACATTAATATTCTTTCTTATAGGAAGAAACAAAAGGGAGGGGGGGAGAGAGGGGGAGAAGACACGACAAATCGATATTGACGAACAAAACACCTTGATGAAAAGCTTCTTGTCACTATTGCAGCATGACACTGGCGAGAGACTTTGACGTTGCAGGCCGAGTCAGGACGACACGAGAAGCTTAATGTGCCGCCGAGCTTCGTCTTCTCATCCCCCCTTCCCCCACCCCCGGCAAAAGAGACAATGGAGCAGGAAAATAGTTCGTGCCACCGCCGCCAATAAAGCTCAGCCAGCCGTTGATGCTACGCCATTGTCCACCCCTTTTTGGCGCCGTTATACCGTGGGAGCCGCGATGGGAAACTCACCCACGTCGTAAGGGTCGTAAATGGACATTTTCCGACCTTCTCCCCCGAGAAAGTATCCCCAAATTGCGTACCTTGATCACCATCCCCGGCGACCTCGATGCTACCGTTGCAATCCAAGACGCAAATCCCCCCCCCTTCCGTCCAGTCACAGTGCCCGTCTTCACCCCCAAGTTTAGAGTTGTACTTTTTGTTTCTCTCCCCTGCTGCCTTCTATCGCGAGCGCGGATCGGCGTAGTGCATCAATCCTGACAGCACTCCCTTTCCCCGACCCCTACCTCTCTCCTCTTTACCCGGGGTTGCTCCGGCGCTGTCATGCCAGACTTTGCTCTTCTTTGGTTCACGCGAATTCGGATAATGTGTGTGTGCGTGTGTGTGTGTGTCCATCGGCGCTTCCATGGTGGAAAGAGTTTCAATCTTCCATTCCTCCGGGGAACCCTCCAGTGCCGCTAGTCAGATCAACGAGAGTCGGCCTTGACATGTCCTGTCACTCTGAGCCTTTGGACTGAGAGCTGAGAAAGGACGTAGGGCAGCGGGCCGGCCATTTCTGAACTGGGACATTGGAGTCTCAGTTGCTCCGCCTTGGGGGGGGGGGCGCTCACAATGGGAAAATCCGAGAATCCCTGAGCAGGTCCCCCGTGCCGTGTACGTCGCGAGGATAGTCCACCAACAGGTAGAAGCTCCTTAATTCGAAAGCTAAATCTCTCAAGTAAGATATTGTAATCAAACTTACAATGCCATCATCCCTCCAGTCCAAGGTGAACCCGAATCAGTCACTCGTAGAGACCGAGCAATGTGTGCTGTGTGTATGCACGCACCTACCATGCCCCCAAATATTCTTCAATGCGGTGCCGTGTGAAGCAAACACACAGACCAAACCGTAGAAACAATGAAGTCAAGAAAAGCCCACTCCGTGACGTGCACGAGACACCTCGAGCCTATTATACATGGCTGACAGAGCAGCGCAAGAGCCAAACTCAGTCTTTCCCACCAGTCAGTGGTCACACACACACACCCACGCGCTCTCTCTCCCCGTCAAAAAGTTCAGCCGCATTGCGGTTGCGGGAAGGGATGGGATCAGAACCGAAAAGACAAAAAAAAAAAAAGATGGCATGTCAGGGCCAACGCTCGGGCCGGGGTCTCTGGTTCGTTTCATCGGCTGAAAAGCACTGTCGGGCAAGTCTCGTGTCAAGTACCTTACGGTAAGTAACAATGAGGCGAAGGAGCGAAGTAGCGAAAGGCAAAATAGAGAGAGAGAGAGGGAGAGAGAAAGCGCAGCAGCAGAACTCAGAGTTACGTATCATACTACTATGGAAGGAAAGAGACGAAGAAGAAGATGATGATGATTGGCTACATGACTTTCAGCACGGCTGCTTTGCCGTGGGCAACATCTGGCCTATTGCCCGTTAAGATTTGGGTTCCATCGGTCAACCTTGGAGACGATCAACGGTGAAAAGAGTGGCCGAGATAAAAAAAAAAATGCAAGGCAACACTGACCTGATTTCTCTTACATCTTGCCTACACATGGAGTAAGAGAGACACAAAAGAGAAAGAGAGAGAGAAAAGTACATGCCATCACATAAAAGCTCAGGCGCTGAATTTTTTTAAGCGTAAATTTTGCAACTGTCTCATCCCAAAAGCACCACCAACATCTCTAACACCATTCTGCAGCGTCGATCATCTGCTCTTTTTTTTCTCTCCCTTCCTTCCGACGGAGAAAGAGGAACGCGGACCAAACCCCCCCCCCCTCTCCTCTTCTGGTTTCCTCCTACCCCAGTGGAGTTTAAAGGGTGTGCCTGTGTCATCTGGAGATGCTATCTCACAATGTTGCGATCGGCGGCCTTTCCGTCCGGTCTCAAGCTTAGCGGGTTGCGTGGTAAGAAACGTCTCATAGCAACTATACTTCCTGGTTTATTAGTGTGTGTGTGTGTGTGTGTGTGTGTGTGTGTGTGTGTGAGTGCGTAAAAGTGGCATTTTGCATAGGTGAGGAGAACGACCTAGGCAATGATGTTATTAGCGATGGCAGGTGAACCAGATTGATCCGAGCTTTTCCAATGCGCTCGGTCCAGTCTTTTATTGCTAGTGGATGAAGTTCGCCTCATTGCAACACAACCCTCAAGGAAAAGGCCCACATAGATCAGGTTTTGGGACGAAAAAGATGCGGTGAAATTGACACGGGATCTGAATCACTTTGTAACGTATGGGGGAGATTTGGTGATGATCATCTTTAACAACTCCTTTGTTCGATTCAGTGCGGTTTCTCCTTTCTATATACATTACCACATAATCGTACATCTTGATATAATCGTTCAAGAACCAGAATAATAATAGAGAGAAATGAAACCCAAAACAATGCCGAGACAGGAAATCCTTATAGGATGAACACTGACTCTCTCGACTTGTCTCCGAACAGAGAACTACAATCGCACACAGTAGACATCGTCCCACTACCACAGAAACCCCCCACCCCCCATATACAACTCAAAACGCCTGTAAATGCCAAGTTTTGTCATTGCCTGGCTAGACTTCTCGTCCGTGACCAGTTTTGCCCCAGCCATGATTCACGCCTCTTGCTCCGGTAATAAAAGCAGACCAAAAGGGAAAGGAGAAGAAAAAGAAGAAAAAAAGCCAACTTGAACACATGGCGAGACGAGACAGAATTCCCTTCTCTGCCTTTGAGTGATCCATCCTCCCGTTCCAAAGGGCCGCCCATGGATGATAATTTTCCAATCCGTGGGGAACCTCCTTTTTGTAATTGTTGAACGCCGTTGAAAAAGACTTGATTTGATGGGTTGGTTTTTTGTTTCTTTTAGTCGTTGCTGATTATGATGTAAGAAATTGAACTTCGTTTGTGGTTGTTGTTGTTGTCGCAGTCGCGGTAGAAGTGATACAGATCTACCACGTGGTATCTTTCCCGTTGAAACCGGTCCGAGCCCATTCCCTTTTGCCGTTCCGACTCTCGGCGTTATTGTTGTTGATGTTGTCTTTAGCCATCCCCGCATGCCGACGACTCCATCCCAGGAATTCGGTCGTATTGAGTATTGATCATGATGACAGTAAATAGAAATAACCGTTCAAATTAAACGTGTCAATCAGTTGCTGCAGGTGCTGCCACTCTCAAAGTTGTGGCATCCGCGCTCGTGACGCTTCATGTTGCTACGGACGCTGAAGGCCTTGCCGCAGCCGGAGTGCGGGCACTTGAAAGGCTTCTCGCCGGTGTGGGAGTGGCTGTGAATGCGGAGGGATGAGGGGCGGGAAAAGGCCTTGTTGCAGGTCTGGCAGATGTACCGATCCTGGCTCTGGGGGAAGGATGCCGCGGAGGAAGGGGAGATGTAGTGGTGGTGTTGCCACGGGTTGGAGCCGGTAGGACCCATGCCGACGGGCACGGGGGCCATGGGCGGGAATTGTTGAGGAAGAGGGCGCTGGTAGTAAATGCCAGACATCTGAGCCTGAGGAGGAGGAGTGTGCTGCATGGGAGGGTAGTAGGAAGCCGTCATGGGGTTGTGGGCGGGCATGTACGCAGGCGGGAACGGTTGGGGCTGGGCGTATGAGCCTTGGATGGGCACTCTCGAGATCATGGGAGCCATGTGCCGGTGGGCTTCGGATTCCAGAGGCGGTGTGGACTCATAGTAGTAATTGGTCTGGGGTTGGGAGACGACGGAGAGCTGGCTGACGGATCTCGTCGAGGGCGAGTTGTAGCCGTCGAAGGAAGCATCGGAGCTCATGGGAGGCGTGGGAGGAAGACCACCCCGGCCATAGTGAGAAGAGTTTGGTCTCGTCTCGGACTTCTGGGAAGATGCTAATTTGGAGGTCAGTGTTCTGCTGCTGCTGCTGCTGCCGGTGGTGGTTGAGATTTCCATCCTGTCCGTACCTTGCTGTGGAATCTGGGGGTGCGTCTCAGAGGTGGGCGAGCCTTGGTCTGCGAGGCCGAGTAGGTTTGAGATGGAGGGAAGAGAGCACTTTGATGTCTCGTCCATTGGGGGTGATGGGGGAGGTTGAGGCGGTTGCACGTATCCGTAGTGTGCGCTTTGCTGAGCAGCGTACGGGTTCGATATTAAAGCGCTCGCCATTGTTGCTGATTAGAGTTTTGAAAACTTTTGAAGTTTGCTTGGTGCTGCTGGGTGCGTGGTGTTGTTGCTCCTTTCCTTGTAGTTGTCTTGTCGTCGATGACAGAATGGTTGATGTGGCGGTGATGGCGGTGATGGTGGTAGTAGGTGTTGGATATTAGGAAAAACAACAGGTATTAGATGTAGAGTAGAGATTAGCCCCAAGTGCCAGCTGGATACTAGAGATTGATTTTGATTCAGAAGTTATTTCAAATTCCGAGCCGACGAGGGGGAAGGGGAGGGTGGGTAGTTTAAGTATGAAATGGCCTGGCGGAAGAAGCTTGTTGGTGGGTGGATGGAGTAGAGGTGGTAGATGGGGGAGGCAGGTATATCAGATCTCCCGAAGCAGAGTGGAATGGGTGATCAAGCGTAAATCCACACGATGATCCCTGGACGATGAGATGCCACAATCGCCTGTCACAAATTGTGTGTGGGTCAGAGGCAGAGAGAGTGGGATAAGTCTTGGGACCGTTACGCCAGGCCTGGGACCAGACGAAAGGCGACGACAACGGGGGTGTGGCAGTTCTGGGAGTAGCTAAGCAAGGGTCAGTCCAAGGTCCTCGTCTTGGGTCATCTACGGGGTACGTACTCACTAGTCGTGCTGCGAGGTTTAACGACAAGGGGAGGAGGACGGGGTCATCGGTACTAGGTAGATGAGACCGGGGGCCGTGAAGAGGGAGTGGAGTGGAGTGGAGGGGAGGGGAGCAGGAGGAAGACTGCGGGTACGTATTCGGAGTAGAGAAAGAGACGAAGGGGAAGAGAGAGAAGCACGAGCACAATGCCTGTCTCTTGATGTAGCCTGGCTATAGCGCCTCCTGGGTAATGGGACGACGGGGCAAGGGTATACATGGATGGTTCTCTCTGACTTGGGGTGCATCGGGGGGGATCCTGAGCGATGCTGGTTGTGTGCCTGAACCGCAATCATAACAACAACGATCTCGAGTCCGGCGTGGGCAGAAGAGTTGTAGTGTCGGTACGGAGTATGGTGCTAGTAGTTAGTAGGTAATGGGTGTATCCGTGTTGCTGGCTGGCTGGCAGCAGTAGCCGGGATTGCGGGTGAGATCGAGGACGACAGACCTCGTCTAGGATTAACGTCAATGGGATCGCTCGAGGTCAAACGGTCACTGGTTTATGCAACTGCAGGGTCTATTGCTCCAGAGCACACCCCAGCCGTGCGTCCTGGATGTTCGTCAGGGCCCTGCTCTGAACGCCTCTTCCTCTGTCTCCCACACGGGAATGTACTGAGAGAGTCCCCTACATGTCTTGGCCACACGCCCTCCTGCTCTTTTCGCTCTTTCTCTCTCTCTCTTTCTCTCATAAACTCTCATATTGCCGGCACACCCTTGACCACGCCTCCCTGGCCCCCCCCTCCCACGGCCGTGGTGCGTGGGCCGCTAGCCTAGCAAGGGTTAATCCGAATCCAGTGCTGTTATGCATGGTACCACTCGGGCCACCATTTCCTAATCTGGATCTTGCTCCCGTTCCGAGGACGGGGCAGTCTGGGATGTCTGACCCCTGTCCTGTCATGAAGGCTTGTGTGTTTGGGACGGAGGCCCGGGGGTTGGTGTAGTATAGACGAAGAAGATCAAGAGGCACCACAGGAGGTTGTTCCTCATGTTGCGTGTGGTGTTCGTGGACTGGGGATGCCAGCCGTGGGAGCGCACCACAGACACACACTGCTCCGCACACACGCACGCACTTGAGACGAGCAACGACTCTGTGCCTGACTGACGTCGGGGGGCGTGCGGCGTGTGAGGCCCCAAGAGCTTCATCGATACCCTGCCAGCCCTGTGCTGCGACCGGATTGTCGAGGTGATCTTATGCCGTTCGTCGCTTCTGCCTCCAATGTGCAGGTGCCAGAACGTCATCCCAAGGCTGAGAGACTTCAGAGAGGAGGGGGAAACACGGTGCTTCACCGTGCCGTGCTGGGTCCCATGTTCGGATGACTGGTGTCTCTGTTCCAGAATCGTCCTGAAGTGATGAATGGCAAGTTGTCCATGATGCGGATTGTCAGATCCAAGCTTCGTTCAATCTGCCGACGACGCGAGATGAGCCCAATCTTGTCTCAACAGCTCTTCCCAGCATAATGAGTTGTTTCTCTGTTGAGTTCAGCCGCGCATCCGGGGGAGAGGACACCGGGGCACGGAAGAACCCTTCCCAAGATCATGGGACATTAAATGCAACAATATTCCGGATTTACTGCAGGGTTGGTAGGCAGGAACGGCAAGCATTAAGGCCGGATGCTGTTTTGATTGACGCTCATCACGTTACTCTCAAGACAAGCTTAATGGCAAAAAGGGTCGACGGGCTTGGAAAACAGCCTGGTCTTGGCATCTCATGCGGAGTCGCCGGGATGAAGAGAAAGAGAGAGAGAGAGAGAGAGGAACCGCACCCAAGACGTTGCGTTGCGTTGTGTTGCGTCAACTTGCGCGAGAGCCGTTTTGTGCAACGGCAACATCCGGTTAACTCTGGACGATTTTGACAACTCCAGACAACTCTCAATGGTGTCGTGTGCGTTGCAGCCTTCAGGTAGCTGCCGCTTGGCGATACCGACCAACTAACTGCTTAGTGCCAGAGTTGCATCCCAGAGTGGCATTTTGGGCATTTCCCTTTAGCCAGGAAAGTCTCGGTGAATGATTGACCGTCTGCCAGGCATTCGGGTCGGGCATCAGTCTGAATTGGACGGAGCAGAGCCGTCCAAGGTAAGTTCAGCCCAGACAAGCCGGCCCCAGTGATCCCATATGATCGCAATTCCACACAACGCAACGCACCCCTAGATAGAGTTCGTCACTGCAGCCCGACTCGACTCGTGGCGGTTGGCTTTGTGGCACCCAGGGAAAAGCCGCCAGCGAAGCTCTCCCGCAGGCGCCGCAAAGCTCTTGGTCTGGCGCTGCCGCTAACTTCGGCACCGTCGATATCGCATGCAGCGGCGGCCGTGCGAAAGGGTTACGCACGTCAAGTTTGAAGGTAGCTGTCAGCGACTCTTTAGCCTCTTCTTTTAGGCCCTGCTTGCTGCTGTTGGTGTGCTCTGACATGTCTCCATCTTGTCTTCTCCCCCCGGTCTCGATTGTGGGCTTTTTGCAAAGGGGATCGGACGGCGGCGGCATCAATGAGACGGCACGGCATCGATAGGGAAATGGGGCATCAGGGGCGCCGGGACACTGTTTCTTGGAGGAGGGGGGGGAGAAGACTCCATATTGGCATGGCATGAGGGTGTGAGAAATGTGAGATGTGTGAAGGGGGTGGAAAGGGGGGAGGGGGGGCAGGGAAACAGACAGTCGGAAACAAAGGCTAATTTCAATATGATCTTCAGTTTAGCTCGGGCGCCAGGAAAGCCCCCCTCGCTTGCGCAGGGTGGCTTGAACCTTGCAAGGACAGGGTTGCAGGGGAGGAAGAGATGAAAGTCTGGCTCTGGCGTCGGCTCTTTCTCTGCTTCTGCCCTCTCTGCTCGGATTCTCGCTCTCTGAATTTGAAGGGGCCATGGGTGTGCGCGTGTGTGCTGTGTGGTCATCGTCATGGCCTGGTGCTTGCTTTCCCAAAACATTAGATCCCCCCCCGGGCCCCAGCCATGATGTCTCGCACATACCCTGTCCTCTGCAAGGTGCCTCTGCCTCTCTCTGGCTCCTGCTGCCCTGGTAGAGAAAGGAAGGGGTCCGTGATCGACCTAGAGACGAGGGTCGGGAAAGATGGGAGGAAAAGGGTTTGGGAATTGGAATGGGATGCAGACGGAACGGCAACAGAGTTCCAGGGAAAGGCCCGGGGTCAAGACTCAAGGGGGGGCTGGGGAATCCCTTCCTGGTAGGGGCCAAGGCATGAAGAAGGCCTCAAGTCCCGAGAGCTTCTCAGGCACAATTGTGCAACAGATTGCCATCGGATGAAGCGGTGACTCGTCCGTTACTGCTTGCCAAAGACCAAATGACAGGCTCCGTCACGTCTCGTCCCGCCGATGTCGTCCCAAGTCTTCCGCCGTGACAGCTCCGGTCGCTCTTATGTTTTGCGACTGCTTTAACGTGCTTATGGCAGCAGTTTCCTCCATCCTCGTGTGCATGGACACCAGTTATTGGGAGTGAGCGGTTCCTGTTGACCAGAGTTTCGAAGTGGGTGTCTGTGTCTGCGATGACTTTTGATAGCATTTGCATTCCATCCCCTTTCCAATTTGCATGTCTGCAACTCTGCATTTTGCCATGTGCGCTGCCTTGTGACAGAAGAGCCTCCCTGAGACCTGACTGCAACTTGGCATGGCACCTGGAGAAACGACGAACACGTAATACCCTCCCCAGACCCCGATAGGCTTGCGGCTTGCCTTGCTACACTTGCAAGGCTCGGGGAATGGGGAAACGGGGAAACGGGGGACCGTTGAGACAAAGTGCAGACTTCAGACTTCGCTTGAGAAAATGGCTGGCGACGGCGTCATCTAGTGTCTCCGTGTCAAACTTCGCGAACGACTTTAGCGCCCTGGCACGTGAAGAAGCAGAGACAGAGAGTTACATACACTTCTGGTGTGTCTAGTAGGTAAGGCCAGCCGACAGTGAAGACTTTCTCCCTCGGTCCACAATATGTTAGCAGACGTAGACGGGCCGTATGTGACGAGTGGACTGGTGAGGCCTGCGTGGCTTGGAGGGGGAACCGCCCGGCCGTTGCTTGCTTTTTTTCCACCACCGGTGTCCATGGCCCATGTTCCCAGACGAAGCCATCACCAGAAACGAAATGGCATGGCTACCGCTATACCGCGTGCTAACACCGATCAAGTGGTCTGTTCCGTCGCGAAGCACGCTAGACTCACACCAGAACCGCCATGGAATCCTTTAGTGGTTGCCAACGCCTTGCTTGCGACTGGCACTTGCACATTGCTGGGCCGCTGGCCGACACAATGCAACGATGAGCCGTCCACACTCTATCCCGTACTCCGCACACACATTACACATCTACCACCTACTCTGCTCACTGACGAGTCTGCTGCCCTGCACCATGCTTGCGGATGGAAGTCCCGCTGCAGCGGGCGCGTCGTTGCTCACCGTTGTGGGATGACCCCCCAATTTCCATCTCCCATCGGTGTAACATCTCGTTCACTCGCCAATCGGCAGCAGTTGGTGTTGCCCCCGCCCGTGGGGAGAGGATCGTGATGTGCGAGCAGCAACATCATGACAGTGTACCTTGGCCGTCCGTGTTGTTGGTTCAACCCCGGAACTACGTAATACCCCTCAAGTTCTTGTGGCTGAGCCCTGAGTGTGCCCTCGAGGAAACCATGGGAAATGAAGCCTGGCAAGAAACTTCTGGATAAAGTAGTTTGTACTTAGTTTGTGAGCCTTGCAGCGGCTACAGATCGCCGGGCGGCCGGGCGGCCACCCACGTCCCCTTTTTTTTTCTTTCCTTTATTCCTTGTTTAATCTTTTTCATACGGATACTTTGGCTAGACTTGACGAACGTCTGCCTCCCGACTCAGCACCCGCATGAAATCATAAAACCTTGGAAAGGTATTTTGTTTCAGCGGAATTATTTAGGCCCCGTCTCTCTCTCTGTCTCGCTCCGGCTCTCACAACCCCAGCCTCACACCCCGTTTCTCGAGCCCTCCGTCGAGATCCTCACGACGGGCGGGCGGGCGACGATCTCCCCCTTGCCCTGCTCCCGTGGTTCCGTGTCGTCGGAGAAGCACGAGAAAGAGGTAACCTATTCAGACGACATGGACTGCAAGTCCCGTGATCGGGCTTTGAACTGATCAGGTCCTCGGGCTTTGAAGCGCTCTGCTAGCGTAAGCCTGGGCATCCTCCCACCTCCCCACCCCAGCACGTCCATCCGCCTCCTGCGCCGCAGGCTGTCAACGGCAACTTCCTGGGCTAAGTCAGATGTCTCTTTCTCTCTCTCTCTTTCTCTCGTGTGGACAAGGACTTCCGCGGGCGAGCGATAGGTCTAGCTACCTAGGCACGTTTAGGTAGTGACAAGCTCCCTAGGCTTGCCTGAGCTTAGCTGGTACCAAACGAAACGGCGTCCATCCAGATCGGGTGCAGCGCGTGACGTCCCGCAAGACCTTTCGTATCGACGTATCCCTTCACTCGTTCGTCGTCCGTCCCCCCGCGCGCATGTAAAAGCTGTTGCGTATCGACCCTGCAGTATGGGGTACCCTACGGGCTACGGCGCGAAGCGGTCGTACCTCGGAGCCTCTTTCGATTGAACTAGTATCGTCATATGGGAGCACCCCCTTGAAGCCATCTTTTTCATTTCCCTAGACTCAGAGCGGCAGGCCGTATGAAGCTACATGTACACGCAGCCAGCCCAGGTATGGAGGGTTGCAGATGTATCCTCTCCAGCAAGCGGCAGCGGTTGGACGCCTACCTACCAAACGCCGGGCTTTGTTGTTGTGTTGGTCCTCCGGCTATTGGTAGTGATGGAACGTGGTAGGTAGATCGTCCATCCTCTTCGAGATTTGAAGTCTGAAAACGGGGGGCCTCGGACCACGGTACAGCTCCCCCGAATGTAACTTGCACGAGCGGTCATCACCCACCCAAACAGATCTGTGAATGGGATCAACTGTGCCTCTCTGGGTAGGTATCTCACCTTGAGCCTTCAACAAACAGTCTGGGCCAATCTTTCCTCCAACTCACCTGTCACCGACCAATCTCCGGGAAGGGCTGGGCCTGGGCTGAGCTGGTCCCCCCCCCCCCCCCCCAATCAAACTACCCCCCACCTACTTCACATTCCAACACCCCCATCAAACCAACACACTGCCGCACTCCCCCCACTCATCCTTTTCTCCCTCCACCTCTTTCTCCAACACAAACGTCTCTCTCAATGCCTCCAGCCACCACGCCGCCCCACAGACCACTACAGCCGCCCGCCGCCGCCCCCCGCACGGGGGGCGGGGGGGCGGGGCCGGGGTGGCGGGGCGGCTCGATTGCGGCGGGAGGGTGACTAGAACCGTGCTGTTGGTAACCCGTCGGCGGCGGGAGCGGAGGATGAGCGCGTGGTCCGCCACGCCGCCGCGGCCTGTGGCGGTGTGGGGGCGTGCCGTTCGTAAAGAAGAACCCGCGCAGGCGGGCGGGACCTGGAGCCAACCGTGGTGGTTGTGGATGTCGTTGCAGCCGGGCATACG